GATCATCAAGACTATTGGTACTCCCAATTGTCAATCATTCTGGCGATACGTGCTCGTCAAATAAGACCAGAGAGTTTTGTTCAAAAAGTGGAGAAGGCAGTTCTTTCCTAATTTTTGGGATAATCCTTCCATATATCTTTTATCAATGTTAAAGACTTAGAAGGTTATTTTGATAAGACAAAAAAGTAAAGAAAGCTAGTACTGCTTAATTTTGTGATATGTTTCGGGGTAGACTTCTGCCTTCATCAGAGGTGACACGTGATGGTGTGACGCGTCTCTTGCAAATCTGACAAATCTGACAAATATCACTGAGCCATCAGACTGACCACGTCCTCTGTCGCATTGTGGTCTCTGGAGAAGTAAATCCCAAGTGTGAGCCAAGGTGAAAGCCCCTTCGTCTCTGTTGATGGTCCGTGATCCCCGCTTCCTGATTTCAATCGCCTCTAGTATCCGTCTTTTGTGTTCATGCTCTTCTGTTAATCAATGTGTTCACAAACAGCATCAACATGAATATGCTGGAATTAGCACAATAGCTAAATTGCATCCTTTTTCATGAAGCAGACAGAAACATACAAACACACAATTAGGCAACAGTACAAACAATAACAAGCACAAAGTAAGAATTTTTAAAGAAAAGAGAAAGTCCCTGGAACAGCAGATCGTCATCTATGGGACCATGACTGCTTTGATTTCAACTCCTTTAAATGTTAGGTATAGGCCCCAGAGTTACGTGTGTGTTCCGGCAAAAATGTTCCATAATGTTGTGCCTCTGATGGCCTCATAATGTTGTCTCCCCTGGTTGGTGCTCTGGTTCTGACTCCATTGTTGTGGTTTTTTAAATATAAAATCCATTAATTCATCAAATAAGTTATTTATTCTCTCAGCAGTAAGATGGTAAAACAGTAAACTAAACCGCAAAGCTCATAGTTCAATATCAACTAACACAGGGCAACAGTAAGGACAGGAGTGGTCTGGGAATATTGATGGACGATATATTTTTGTTTCATATGATTTGTTTGGGCAAATGATCGCGTGCTTTTGGTCCAATGATAAGTTTCCAGACTGGCTTGTTTGTCTTTGGGAGTGGATCTGTCCTTCACCGTGGTTTGGGTTGTTGTAGGATCTGCTGAAGGAGGGTCTACGGACAGGGGACGCTCCAGGATATATCTACTTTTGCTTTCTGTGAACATTGGTTTCTCTCTTTGATTGATTTAATATTTGAATTCGCGACTGACAGAGTACCAATTTCCTGAAGTCCTTCGAGACGACAGCTGTGATTCTGGGCTGTAAAAAGGTGAATTTGTTTTTGAAAACGCCAAACCAGAGCTAAAGCAATGCAAGGTTTAGTTTTGTGTGTCAAAGATTGGTATATGCAAGTGCAACAATACAATGCAGCCACATGCAAATACAACAAACAGCACTTTTTGCCCCCTCTTTGTCCTAAGTAATTTTAGCAGTAACATACTATTAGAAAGTAAAGATATGCAAATAGATGGTACTTTGTAAGGTATGGCATTAGCTATAGTTTTACAATTATTACTATAGTTGTATTTGTTTTAAAAGTATGGGGTATACAATAAATTAGCCAAAAGGAGATAGGCATTGTATCAGGCCAAAGCAGGAGCGGCAGTTTACACCTGTAGTCCATGAGCAGGTTGTTGTGAGACAGTAAGTAGATGGATAAATGACCTGGACACATTATAAAGATTAAAAATAAAGTGAACTGTTGTTGTCTTATTGTTTATTTTCCCTCTATATGTAGGTGAATCCTCTGAACAAACTACACCTTACCTTAAAGATGACGTAATTTAGCTTAAAGCGTTTGAATATCAGTCTGAATCAGTGTTTTTTTTGTTGCCCTGGAGGATGTGTCTCTTCGGTCGGGCCCCTAACGACTCAAACAGAAGCCTGCACTGCATACTTTCACTGCTACAGTCATTAGCTCAGGGGACCCGAGCGCCCCCCAAAACCCACTGTCCAGGACTGATGTGGACAAAACTGTTTGGGACATGAATAACTGAAAATTCAATGTAAATTTGTATTGCTCTAATTTACAGTACAACAGCAGTCGTCTCGGAGGACTTTACAAAGTTGTCAATTTGTCAATAACAGCTTTGACAATTAAACAATCAGAACACAAGAGATGAAATACAGGTCATGAGACAACAAAAAAATCCTGTATAAAAGAAAATGATTACAGGACAAAGCCAAAGGAAGGAAACTGCATTAAAGACAAATGTGAGAATAGATATTTTACCCTTTAATGGTTTCCCCAACCATTTGGTGGATCACTTTTGAATCACTTCATGTACTTGAAGCTTGGAACTGAAATCTACCTCATTGGGGCATCTCTATCACTTGGTTTTAGGCACTTTTATTATCAAACTGTATTCAACCATTTTACTTAAAAAAAATAAGGGGTTAAAAAAACATCAAAACAACTGATTTGTGTAATTAGTGCTCCTACATCTTAAAAACTCTGAAAAAAGAAATATTGACATTGCGTTCCTCTAGGAGTAAACTTTAAATGGTTATTAATAAGAAGGCCATGCTCCTGCTTCTAAATGTCCTTGGTATAATGTTCAGATGTTTGAACCTTGAAGCTTGTAAACCAGCAGCTCCCTGTCTCCACAGCTAATGTTTTTAATCTTTATTTGAAAAACTGGGAAGTTTTGTTTCTTAAAATATCAAGTCTCGAGTCTTTTCATTTGTTTTGAGATTAATGTTTCAACTGCGGCAGCACTAGTAGCGTTTGCCTGATGTACCATGAACTTATACTGTTTTCCTGTGTATTTGTTTTAAATCTTGTATGAGACTTTAAGACTTGTCTGTGTATTTTATGTGTTTTAATGTGTGAAGCGATAAGTGAAATACGCTATAAAAATAAACTTTACTTACTTACTGACTGTCATTTGAGTAAATGTCAAGGAAAATATGTAAAAACATTTGAAATTCTGCAGATATAAATTAAAAACATGCTTTTCTTGATAAAACTGCAACTCTATACATTAATTTTATCATTGTGTATAATCAGGGTTTCTTAACTTGTGGTGCAGGGACCCTTAGTGGTACAGCTGAGTATTATGTCTTTTCTGAAGATATTCTGTAATGCAAAAAAACCTCCATATGACATATGCAAAAATATATCTCAGTTTTGAAAATTTGGCAAAATCTTAATGCATGTTTTGTCCTTGGTAAAGGGGGAGTTGTAAATCGTTTAAATATGATCTAACAGCACTTATCTGTTTTTGCAAATAAATTATTGCTTCTATTCTGTACTGTGCAGGCTCTATGTCTCTAAAATAGTATGAAACTACGTGGTAGAGGTTGGAACCACAGCTGTAAACAATGAATTTCAATAAGTGCCGCTTTGACTCACGCTTTTATTACTGTCTTAGAATCTAGTAAATATAGAATATTGCAAAGAAAATACAAACTTAGAAGTGCGGCTATAACAAATGAGTTGAATATTTATACTGTGTTTTTAGGCAAATGTATTTAGTTGTTAAAATATTGTCTCTGGAAGCTTCAACCTTTGACCATCTTCAACTTGTGCCTTTCTCCTCAGAAGAGCTAGCTTATTGTTGTCTCAGAGTGATTTAGCGCACAGCGAGCGGAGGCCGACAGTGATTAAACCACACTTTATTTGCGTCATGGCTTTTGCATAATTTCATCTATTGCACTTGTCAGCAATCCTACGGTGAGACTGCAGCTCGGTGAGACTGCAGCTCGGTGACAGCGATGCTCACCTCTGGGCAGCCATTAAATATTCATACTGACACATATAATCAAATATAGAATCAAATTAAATCAGCTGCTGTTATTTCATACAACACTATATACCTGTATATTCTAATACATGGGGTGGGGGCTCATGAATAGTTTATCCTGTGGGATTTTATTTTCAAAGATGAATCTTTATAAGAAGAAAATATGTTAAGTTGTATTGCTCAAACAATGCAGTGGATACGACATACATACATATAAAACTCCCTGGGGGAAACCTCAATGTTGTGGTGAGTGAACGGTAGGAATGGTTATGACCTCAAAAAGCCATGATTTGGAGTAAAGAATGAAATAATAAACAGACACAATTACGTATTGATTGGAATAAGAGTCCAGACTACAGAGTGTATATATATGTATAATAGTACCATTGACCGCCTATGGTGCGTCCCTAGAAATAGCTTGTACACAATCCTGCATTTACAGGCGCATGTAAAATACAATGTGCAAAAATGCCGTTCTCATAATAATTGAATGGAACAGTTTTTAGTTTTTCACTCATGGCATCATTGTTCAGTGTTTGTGTAGAAAATATAGTGGTGACGCAATGTTCCCTGTAGTTAGAGACACTTTTATATTCACATTTCAATCACACGATCTGCTCATTACAAAATCACTGTCAAGAATGATAAAGCTCATTTAGATGATGCTGGAACACAACAATTATTATTCTCCCTCATCGAGTTATTCATGTCGTAAATCTGTTCAAACATCCAAATATTGGAAGGCAAAATAAACACATGGAGACAGTCAGCAGTGAGGCTGAGACAAGGGAAAGAGCCATGGCTGCGTTACTGAGGTGAACAATACCCACACTGACACTGTGCGACAAATTATATTCACTGTATTTATGGAAATCTAAAAGTCATGATTTCATATTTGAAATATAACAATGTCCACTGATTGAATAGAGCCACATTGATATGATAAGTATCCTGTTGGTCCCCTGTGCAGAGAGCAGTGAAGCTCATGATCAGGACAAATGCAAGTTCCACTCAATCAGCATCGATTGTGGGCATGAGGCCGCCGATTTATTAAGACCCCCGTTTGTAACAAAGACCCCGCTGCCCTCCTATTCATACAACACAATCTAATAACCATTAGGTGTACAATAAGAGTGATAAATTCAGTTGATAATAGTGCAATCAAAGGGCAATGTGGCACAGTGCCGGGAAGGAGAGAGAGGGGAGGGGGCAGAGAGGGGTATAAAAGACATGGGAGGACTTAAAACCAGAAACAAGAGAGTGGGACCAGGAGAGGCATGTGAGGACTTCAGTGAGGTAAAGGGAGTTTCCAAAAAAGTTGTTTGGAAGTTGAAGCAAGAAAGGGTCACAACTAAACGGTAAGCAAACACAAATCAAGCATGGGCGGTATTTCAATACAATATGTGAACTGCACAGTTTACAACATGCTTGTTACATTAGAGTAATGTTTCTGTTAATAACTACTCAAAGTACTGCAATATGTTATTTATAGTACAATCTGCATGTTTAACTGAGTTATGGCTAAAAATATGTAAAGCCAACAGCCTACAAGAGTGCAGTTTGCGGGGGTAGACAAGAGTCTGGTTCTGTCAGTGCATGTAGAAATGTTGAGCGTTCCCATGATACACGCTGATGGTTAACACAGATGTGTAATCGGAGTGGGAGCTCTGTTTATCTGCTTTCCCCTTTTATAGACACATTTAAGCTGGAAATCTAATAGAATGTATGTTTCCTTTTTTAAATCATCAATAGCTGCATTTATACTTCCAGATAATATTTTGGGGATTGTAAACCAAATCTGCTGCAATCTTCTTTAGGTTCCCCCCCGTTCAAAGACTGGGCCATTATCTTATGTGGAGTTGCACTCATAACTGGGGGTCACAGTTCAAGTAGTGGTGGAGTGCTATAATGCCAGTGCGACCTCTTCTCCTCATCCTGGGACTCACTGCAGCTGCTGCAATTGAGGCTCATGGTAAGTGGCTTTTACCAGGACATCTAATCACTATTACATATTTATTATGTCTACTGTACTTTTCCTTCAGGATCACAGAGAGACAACAGAGAGTTCAACCCATCATTATTACATGTTGATGGTATAGTTTTGGATATAGCATAGTCTGAAACTCAATTCTGGATAGTTGCATAAAAAGTCCACTCTGTGTCCAGGCAATTACGAGTGGACATCCTGGTTCAATGTGGACCACCCTGGGGGTCGTGGAGACTATGAGCAGCTGGAGGCCATTCGTTTTTATTACAAAAGCCGAGTGTGCACTGCCCCACGAGCGCTGGACGCCCGAACAACTAACTGGATCCCGGCCCGAGAAACTGGAGAGAAGGTCCATGCAGACCCCACTGTGGGATTCTGGTGCCTCAATGCAGAGCAGGGATCAGGCCGAAACTGCTCCAACTACGCTGTGCGCTTCCTCTGTCCAAAAGGTGGGCTTACGTATGGAATGCACTTTTCACACAGTGAAAGTGCATTTTATCTACTGTATTTATTCTCATCTGTGTGTTGATAATAGTTTCATGTGAAAGTAAAGAACACTACAATGCTATAAACTATTCATTGCATTGCAGGATTTGCCAGCGACAGTGGGGATGTGGATGGCACCTGGGGTCCCTGGTCAGACTGGAGTGAATGCCCAGCTCTCTGTGGCCAGGCTGGGATGCAACATCGCTACAGATCGTGTCAGAGTGGTGCTGTCCCCTGCATTGGGTCTAAAGTAGAAGACAGAGAATGCTATGTACCGGAATGTCCTAAGAAAGGTGAGTTGTTAGACCATATCCAAGGCCTACAATACAGAGGATTCATGCACCAAATAGAACTGTGATTCCTTCAGCAGAGTGCAGTCTGAAGTGTGAGATGGGGCGAGTGAACGCTGACTGTGATGCCTGCATGTGTGAAGAGCACATGGTGCTGGGGTCAGTGCGCGGGGCAGGAGGTCTGGCTGCAGAGGGGGCTGTGATTCTGCTGTACACTAAACTGATGACTATCAGCGATCACAATGGACACTTCAGAATCCCAGGGCTCTGTCCTGACGGCAAGACGACACTGACAGTCAGACTGCAGGGACATGCGCCCAAAAATGTTGTGGTACAACACAGCACTGACCGCACATCTGTCCTCAGCGTCCAGCTACAACGAACAGGTAGATGCAGTACATCATCACCACTCTTTATGGTGGTCAGGTGTGTTTATGGATGCTTGATTTGTTTGTTTGTTTTCTTTTATTTTCAGAGAAGCTTCATATATCGAGCAACCCAGAGAGCAAGATCAGAAGGGAAGGACAGACAGCAGCTTTCTGCTGCAAAGTAGCAGGGACCCCTCCTCCAGATATATACCAGTGGTAAGATCTTAAAGACATCTACACAACTGTTCAGGAATCAGACACTAACAGACGACACCAACATACATGAAATTATCTATGCTGGTGTTGGAAATATTCATTTGTAATGAATGTAACAGGTACCACAACAACACTCTTCTGGAGAGGGAGTCAGAAGGCACTTTGGTTTTGAGGAATCTTCAGCCTGACGAGGCAGGAGAGTATTACTGCAGAGCAAGTGGACCTTCTGGAGCCATCAAGACCAAACCAGCCACGCTCAGAATTATCGGTCAGTTAACATTTTCATACGAGCACAATATTGTCACTACAGTATTTTACGGAAATGTGTTTTCTTATTTTTTATAGGAAGCAAAGACCAATCCTGCAATCCTGTTCCTGAACAGAACCTCATCCGGCTTCCATATGACTGCCTCCAAAACCGCACCAACTCTTTGTACTATGATGTGGGCAAGTGTCCTCCCAGAACGTGCAGTGGACAGCTGGACAGTGGCATAAGGTGCAGAGACAAAATGTCTTATTGTTGCGGTGTGGCCAAGATGGAAGAACAACAGCTGCAATGCCAAGGCTATATGCTTCCTACAATGGTGGTGACTGAATGCGGCTGTCAGAAGTGTGTGGAGACAAAGGCAATTGTATATGGCAGAGCTGTCGCTGCAGACAACAGTGAGCCAATGAGATTTGGACATATCTTTATGAACGGAGTTCGGATCAGTCGCACAGGTTACAAGGGCACATTCTCTGTCCAAGTTCCTCCAGACACAGAGAGACTAGTTTTAACCTTTGTGGATAACATGCAGAAATTCATAAACACCACTAAAGTCCTTCCATTCAACTCAAAGGGAGGGGCAGTATACCATGAAATCAAACTGATGAGAAAGAAGGCCCCTGTGACTATTAGCTCAACAGAGATGAACACACTGGAGCTGGGCGAAGTGGAGGGAGAAGAAGCCATGGTCCAACTTCAAATTCCTCCTCATTCATTTTACACTGAGAGCGGTGAGGTCTACACTGGCAATGTCAATGCCAGTGTTACATTTCTTGACCCAAGAGACGTGTCCACAGCTGCAGCAGCTCAAAGCGATTTAAACTTTGTTGGGGAGGAAGGTGACACTCTTCCTCTCAGAACTTATGGAATGTTTTCTGTTGATTTTCGCAGTGGAGAGAACAATGAGCCTCTAAACGCAGGTGAAGTAAAGGTATTTTTGGATTCCACACAGGTGACAATGCCTGAACATCTCAACAATATGAAGTTGTGGTCATTGAATCCTGGAACTGGACTGTGGGAGGAAGAGGGCAGTCTACAGATGGAGAAAAAGAGGAGGGGAAAACGTGAGGAGAGGACTTTTCTCATTGGCAACATGGAGATTAGAGAGAGGCGGTTATTCAACTTGGATGTCCCAGAGAATCGTAGGTGCTACGTCAAAGTTCGGGCCTTCCGTAGTGAACGCTTCATGCCAAGTGAGCAGGTTGAAGGAGTAGTGATCAGTTTGGTCAACATGGAGCCAACGGCTGGATTCTCTACAAACCCAAGAGCGTGGGGGCGGTTTGATAGCGTCATCACTGGTCCCAATGGCGCTTGTCTTCCAGCCTTTTGCGATGAACAGAAATCGGATGCCTACACTGCCTTTGTTATGGCGAATCTTGGTGGAGAGGAACTGGAAGCAGTGCCCTCTAGTCCCAAACTTAACCCTAACCTCATCGGAGTTCCTCAGCCCTTGCTAGGTCAACTCAACTACAGACGCACAGACCATGACGACAACAGATTGAAGAAGACTGCATTCAGCATCAATGTGGGAAAACCCAGATCAAACGCAGCTGAGGAGGGGAACGGTCCCATCTATGCTTTCGAGGGATTAAAAGATTGCGAAGAAGCACCGTTTAGTGCTGCTCACTTCCGCTTCTCAAGAGTAGAGGGAGACAGATATGATTACAACACGGTGCCATTCAACGAAGACGATCCAATGAGCTGGACTGAGGACTATCTGAGCTGGTGGCCCAAGCCGATGGAGTACCGAGCGTGTTACATCAAAGTCAAATTAAACAGTCCACATGAGCTCAATGTAAGGTCTAGAAATATGGGCGGGACTCATCCAAAGACAGTGGGTCAGCTGTATGGCCTCCGGGACACTCGTAGTATTAGAGACATGGATCAAGCAACCATTTCAGCTGTGTGCGTAGAGTTCAAATGCAGTGGCATGTTGTATGACCAAGAGCGTGTGGACAGGACACTAGTAAAGGTCATACCACAAGGGAGCTGCAAGAGAGAACAAGTTAACACAATGCTTCAAGAGTATCTTGTCAACCACCTGCCTTTAGCGGTCAATAATGACACCAATGAATTCACCATGCTGGCACCACTCGACCCTCTCGGACACAACTATGGCATCTACACCGTAACCGACCAGGACCCACGAACAGCCAAAGAAATTGCCCTGGGACGCTGCTTTGATGGCACCTCGGATGGTACTTCGCGTGTTATGAAAAGTAACGAAGGTGTAGCGTTGACGTTCACCTGTGGAGACCGGGAAGTAACTCGGCAAAGTGTTTTCCAAACCGTTCAAAATGCTCAGGCAGGAAGCGGTGGGTTGAGAGGGGAGGTAAGGCAGGGCAGGAGGAAGCAGAGGGGCTCCAATATATCACGAAACAGTCGCAGGCGCAGCACTCGGGATCCTGCAGGGAGGCGCAAGAGCTATGGAAATTAATTGTACTGATAGGTTTTTTTTAAAGCATTTTAAATAACTAAATGCCTGGACTGTTGCTCTTCAGTTTCAGATAAACATGTATTTTCGCAATTGTGTAAACTTTAACATTACTGTGGTAAATGTGTACTTGAATTTGTAAATAGCGTATTTATTACACATGCTGTCCACACAAAGTATTTCATGTTACTAATGACAAACAACTGCTTCTTTTGACGAGTGATTTATTAAATTAGATGCTTATAAAACACTGCAGATGCTGTATTACCACCGTCTTTCATCCCATTGTCTGTTGAACTTAGACACTTTGTCCATTGCCAGAAAAAAGTAAAACGCTGCATTTCAACAAACTAACCCAAATCAAGTCATGTTGGTGTGAAGCCCATAGTTCTTCACGTTTCTTCTTACTTGATACAAGCCTACTGAAGCAATAATTAGAAGACCAGTTTCAGCAAGTTCAATCTACCTGCCTGATCTCTTTTGTGTTAGTATAAATCAAATTCATGTTTGTATGCACGAAATAGACCTGCAAGCAAGCCAATTTTCACAATGGTCCAGAGGTGTGGAGACAATGGGAGATGCTGAAGTCAAACTGTTAAAACTGTATGGTCTTTTGTCCCTTTCAAAGCAGATCTTGTATTACACATCCTTTTTGCCTATAATGCAACCTGCCCAGGAATAAGCTCTTAATTTGGCAAAAGTTATAGATACTATATACTTTCCCTTCTCACTATAGCCCGACGACTCAGACCTAAAACATACAAGCGATTCTGGTTAAAGATTTGCATAGAACCTTTGCTTCTATGTCTCTACACTAACAACTGCAATACTGGATCTGCCATTTATTATCTGGAGCAATTAACAAAAGATCCCAGAGTAACGACAGTAGTTTTCAAAATGCTTTCTTCTCTGATATCGGGTCAACCAACAGAAACTACATAATCATAGGATGTTAGAGCCAAGGCTGAATGAGAACAGAGAAAAGGCAATTCAATATGTGTGAACATAAAATGGTGAAAACTGGCTGCTCCCCAGTATAGTCCTTCTGGTCTCTGAAGAGAAACTTGAGGGGAGCAACACATAGTTCCGATTTTCCAGGATGGCACTGGACAGCATGAGAAGGTACAGCTGCGTTCCGAGGGTGAAGAGGGGAGCGGCAGAGGAGCCAGTGTCACATGAAGTCCTCGTAGTCTTGAGTGTAGTCACCATCAAAGCCTCCATAATCAAGGTCATCTTTCATTTTCGCTTTAAAGCCCCCACCTCCGGCCACTACACCTTTCTTCTTCTTTTTTCCTTTGTTTTGCTATAATCAAAAAAGATATAGCAGAGTGCATGTTTTTATTAAATGAGAATATGGCTCCCCCTACTGACCATTGTGTTTAATACAAAGAGTTCAGGAAATTGAAACTTACTTTTTCTTGTTTTTGTTTCTCACTTAGTAAAGCTGCCAGAGAATTACTGATTTTTTTCAAATCTTCTACTTCCACTGCAAAGCCATGGGAACATAGTCAAATATTTCAATACAATTAAAATACAATGATTTTAAGTTGAAACTTACATGAAATACAGAGTTCCCGAAACAATGAGTCCAGGAAACTTGAATAATGAACAGATTTTTCAAACTGGCTTATTTTATCTTTCAGATGTTTTTCAAATTCTGTAAAGTCTTCTTTCGACGATGGAGACATGGCATCAATGCCAGTGCCAGCAACACAGTTTGAGGTACTAACACCTACAAAACAACAGGACAATGTTTACTTCCTAGTATACAACATAAAACCATGACTCACTAAATGAGCATCAATAAAGTTATTGCATACTCACCAAAAGCATCCTTTGCAAGCTCCAGGTCGGACTCTTCTTGTAGTTTCTGCACTCTCAACTTCTCTGCTATCAACTCCTCAGGGGTAAGTTCTGCTTGCTACAATTTAGTAGCAGTTAAATAACGTAATTATAAAGTATTATATATTATCAATTATAAAAAGTAATTACACTTTTACTGAGTTCTTCTTCTTCTTCCTGTTGCTTTTTTCTTAGTCTGTTTTCCCTCTCTTTGATTTTCTCGCTCAACTTCTTTTTTTCAGATGCTTTAACTTCTATGAAAGAGAAAAATGAAAAATATATACATTTTTCTTATTTATAAAATAGGAGTATTTCTCACCAGTTTTCTTCTCCTCTAATTTTTTCTCCTCTTCTTCTTCATCATCCCAATTGTCCTGTAATAAATACAATTATACACATCAAAACCATACAGGCCAAGTATTAAACTGTCATTACAAATACACATCATTTATAGACAAAATGTTTTACATATTTTTATCAAATGGTATATATGAGGTTTAATTTTATTGTGACAGTTTGAGTAAAAGAGTACCTACAAAATTACTTCTAAACTAATTATAGTCCCCAAAAGGTACATAAACATAGTTACACGTGGGAAAACAAGAGTGTCTTTGGATACACTGCCATATGTCACAGAAAGAGAACAATTAAAGAGGCCTCTCCCAGCACTTTCCCTGAGTGAATATTTTGAGGCTCTAGACAAATCCAGACACAAGAACCGGGTAACCATAGATAAACATATAATGGAGAAACAACGCAGTCATCGTCCTAAAGTGGAATCTCCCAGGCCTCATGAGTTGAGTCAGCAGCTCATATGATTTCATCGTTTTGTGGCTAAAGTTGATAGCATCTCAAGCTAACCCTGTCTCGTATTACTCAAGCCGAGAGGATTCAAGGGGAACGATAATCCTCAGTTATAATTAACATGTTGGTAACTTAAGTAAGCAAAAAGAATAGCATTGACCCTATTACAACGTTGAGTCGAAAAACAAATACCAAGACTATTGACAAATAATAACTTATTGAACAGCGTAAAATGATTTCCATGTCCACACATGTTTGCTACATTAGCATCAGCCTTCAGATAGCAGTTCAAACTGTTAGCTAACACAATACTTTTATAACAGCATCAGGGAACAAGTAGCTAAGGGTGAGCGACAGAACCATTTAGCCATTTAACATTAGCCTTAAGTAAGCTTAGCTAATAGTAAGAGTTAGCCATGCTAAACCGTGCTGCTGGCTCTGGCACGCTGTGCCACATGATTAGCCGCTGCTAACTCGGAGCTAACAGAGTCTGACAGGAAACCTCGTTGGCATCAACTCCAAAGCCCCATCTGCGTGTTTCACACTGACAATCAGCCAGCTGAAATGAACCACGTCAACATTAACTCATCAAAGCCAAAGTTTGGATGTACCTTAACATCTTCATCTTCGTCTTCGCCTTCCCATTTGTCCAACACTGGCGCCTTTTTAATCGGCTCCTCCGCCTCGAAGCTGTCAGCGTCTGAAAAATCGTCAACATTAAATTTGTTAGACCAATCCACATCTATCGAAGGGTAGCGACAATAGTACACTCTTGTGTCCGTGTAACACGCAGAGTAGTTATGGTCGAGATAGCTTTACGACTGCTATCCTTCCTAAGTTAGTTTCTCACCCCAGTCCGCCATGTTGCCTGTGTAGTGTTTGACAGGCTCTCGGTGAAGTCAGCAGCACTGCCTCCTCCTCCTCCTCCTCCTCCTCCTCCTCCTCCTCCTCTCATACGTCACAGAAGGAGAATGTGCTGCTATTTTCACCTTAAAAGTACGCCCTTATCACACTACACCATTAATGTATGATAATGCACTAGAGTTATCATGATTTAAATAATAACTTATACACCTACATACCCTTCATATTAGATAAAATAACACAAATGATTTTGGTTATATTCTCCATGGAAACAAGCAACACCATGGACTGTAAGGACAACTCCTAAAATAAAGTATTTTTGGCAATAAAAATCCTTGACTAGTCATGTTAATTAATTATAAATAACAGTTGAAATTGTAGTAGTAGTAGTAATAGTAGTCACAGAAGTAATAACACTATACAATAAATGCAATACATGTAAATGGTTTGCAGAGTGTGCCATTTTTTATTTAGCTTCATTGTTGACAAACAATATGTCTGTGCAACTTTCTTTACAAAATACTACTTACACAGACTCTAACTCAATGTTTAATAAAGAACGACCCTGTTGCAGTTACATTCCTATATACAGTCTATGCTACATACATATTTAAATACATAAATATTGTTTCTCCAATACATTCATAAATTAATCTTTGGTTTATTCAGTGCTTGAAAAGTAAAGGTGAATTACTGCCCAGAGTAATTCTGAAGTGCTGTGTATACAAACAGATAATATATTGCACAAATGAAACAGGTGAGGGAGTTATTGTAGTGAAGCAGAGGGTAGACGGGTCGTGTGCAGTGCATGAGGTCATGTTTGGAGCATTAGCATCAGTGATCCCAGCAGCACACACACCGGACAGGGACTCAGCGCCAGCGCCAGTGATCTCCCTGTAAACACAACATCATGTTTGATACAGTCCACAAGCCCCTATGGTGAGGATAAATACAGAGCTACAGCCAAACATAGATTAAACACAACTAATCAAGTGTTTTCAATAATCAACAATTATGTTAGTAATCTATTAATAGCTAACTGCTATTCAACAATAGAGCATCACACTTCTGTAACCACAGTATGTGTCATTGGCCCCTCTAACCACCAACCATTCACACACACACACACACACACACACACACCCACACCCACACCCACACACACACACACACACACACACACACACACACACACACACACACACACACACACACACACACACACACACACACACACACACACACACACACACACACACCAGACTCTCTATGGTGTCTTGCTTAAGGACACAATGACAGTTCAGCACTTTATAGCCGCAGTCGCCCCACTGGGGTGTGCCCAGAGATCTCCCATCACAGTACTATATGGCCCTGCCCTGCTTAGCTTCAGGTGACTGACAGAATCTAGCTTTCTCATGCAGGTATGGCCACAATATATATATGTTTACTCCAAAACATGTCGTGCTGTGAGGTGAGATTTAGGACTCAAACAGAGCAAGAATTACAACAAAAACAAGAATAGCATACATGTCCTGATTTTATTACAAAATAGTTTTTCTGGAATAAATATCATTTAGAATGTCCTCCGGCAGCTTCCATTAAACCTTTTCATGCCTGTATATCTTACTTCTATGTAGTATTATTTTTTTTGTAAATTATATTATTTGCGACGAGAAAGTGGGCTTCATATGATTACAGTATTCTCTTTTTTAGAAAGCAAATCCACTGGCCTTTTACTGAAACAAATTAAAAAGTAAACTGTTTGAGACTGCAGCTTCAAGTTACAGTATATTGTGTCTCTTACATATTTCACCAGCTATATATACAATCTCTTTGTTGCACATTTGTAATGACCAGAGAAGTATTATAAATCTAATTCAATAATTACTGTCTTTCATGTACTTTTCCAGCTACATTTGCAACAGTACCTCTGAAGTCCACAAGACGGTCCTCCCAGGGATTCAGCACCATGGCCAGAGCTTGTTTCTGCATGTAAGACAATGCATCAATCACTGGGATGGGCACTGCGTCTGCCTGATCATAGGAGAACATGCTGATCTGATGAGGACGGAATGCAACCTGGACCATGAGACACAGACACATTCACAATTCACAAAATAGTACATTGTACATGTGTATTGTATTTTTAAGGCCTTACAGAAAATTTTGTTGGTGGAACGGCTGAGATAGCCAGAGGAGTAATTCCTTCAATTTGATCTTTTACTAAGGATGACATATCAATATCTGTAAGTCCAGCTGTAAAAGAGCAGAACATTTGAAATCATTTATTGAACAGAACTATCAGATAAAAACTCTACTTTCCAAGGTATAGCAGTACAGAACATGGATCGGATTCTACCTGCTATTATTCCAATCTCCATGAAAACATCACTTTTCCAGAAAGGAACGAGTCCAAAGGCGAGGGCATGACTCAGCAGCCCGATCATGGCCCTCAGCTGTTCTTCATCACACTGCAGCTTCAGCTGTCCAAGGTAAAGCACTGCCTTACTACAGCCACCAGGGGGGGTCAGAGATCAGTAACCAGTATCAGTAGAAATGCAGGTACCTTTTATCGTGGTTGTATTATGATTTTTACTCACCTGAACTCTACTGCATTGAAATAAATTATTTGTGATGCTTTGGCCCCACACACAAAATGACCCATTGCCACCAGAAGGCTGGAGTCCAGCTGGCTTACACTTTGCTGAGTTGAGGTTAATACAGCCGCAAAGAGGATTTCTTGCTGCAAGGTAAAGTTGTTATTCAACATGATTCATTCACTGTCTGTACTCTGCAGGTCAGTGTTCCACACTGACCTGTGTTCTGGTCCACAGATCAACAGCTCCTAGAGCAGAGATTATGTTGCGATCAGAAAGTTGGAGACTGCGCAACTCTTCATTTGTCATTTCCACTGCTATTCGTCCAAGCTGAGAGATGAGTGACTGGGAGAAAGAGGAAACTGGACCATATAGCTTTGATAAAAACATAAATCAAACATAAGAATTAATGTATTTTTCATGATATGTTTGAGAATTAATATAGTCTTACTTTTTTCAATTTTTGTAACAACTGAACACGGTGATAATAGGACACAAAAGGGTCTAGACCCATTAATTCTAGACAGTTGACAAATGCTGAAGACGACATGTTGGCTAAGCTGTTAGGCGTCCAAACGGAGGGAGTGGTTGAATGGAGGATCTCACACGTTGGAACTGTGGTAGGCGCTGCAATAAACAATAGACAACATGTAAGTGACTAAAATTAGGGGCGTTGTATTGCAAAATATCTTTTAGATAGGAGCATGTTCTTCAAAATTCTGCCTGCAACAGGAAGACAAATCCATAATCCAAAGAGCTTACTTGCTATAACTTTGAGGAAGCCAAGAAAGAACTGCAGGACAAATTGTTGTTTCTCAAAGTTGCTCCTCTTCTCACTGGCGTCTAGACACTGGCTTCCAACAGGCCCCTGTTCCCACTGTTGCTGGCTCATGAACAGCCTCTCTATGCCAGTCACAGACATCAGCTCCTGCAGACACATACTGTTGATCATGTCGGGCAGGGGGTCACACATGACTTTACCAACTATCTTCATCTTTCTTTGTGTTATGTAATAATCCCACTGAACATATGATACAGGAGGAAATGCTAAAACTCACCAATGGGATTTGCTGAAGTTTATTGATGGGTAGAAAGAAGATAAATCTTCCCACTTGACTAAGTGTGGCCTTAGTCCATGTCTCCACAGGTCTATCATAAAGCACAACAAAACAGATGTGAAATACCATCTGACCAAGACACAAATTAATAAACGTAAAAGCTTACCCAAAAGAGTTTGTTATTTGCAACATTTGTGCTACTATGTCCATTTTAGAAGTACTATAACACAAAGTCTTTAGAAAATCCAAGTTTTCCATGAAAAAGGCTGTGTCAAGCTTTTTTAATAACTCATCTCCTACAAATGTTGCCATAATTCCCAATGAACGAAATTCCTCCTCAGTGTACCCATCTGTGGACATGCTCTGTAGGAAAGCAATATATTCAATACTTGGATTGTCATACTCGTACATTGTGCAAAAAACTGACCAGTCTTTGAACAATTCTATCCACCAGAAGCTCTTGTTTTCTTCTGGACAGTTTCAGAAAATATTGAGGCTCTCTGATGATGATTTCTCTGAGAGAGTCCATATAGTTCACATCAAAATGTCTGATAATGCTGAGTCTGCAGACAAAGACCAGGGCTTATTCAAAACCTCAGTGCACCTTTATATTGATCGACCTTCAGAATGTACAAACTTACGGTATTGAAAGAGCTAGTTCTGCTCCGAAATCTTTCAGAACATCTATGAAGAAGTCATAGTTGTTGACCTCATTCACTACACATGTTTTCTAAGCAGAAAAGTAACATTGACTTTGAGAAGTCGGTACAAACTGCACTAACTTAAACACTACTACAGTATTTATACCAGTGTGGTGTGAAGAGGACTCAGCTGCTGTCGGAGGAAGTAGAGAATCTTTCTTACTGATGAAGGAGATTTATTTGCTCTCATTCTTTCAAGCAAAACTTTACAGCTCACTCCATGGCCGAGTGTCCCCAGACTCCTAATTACAAAACAACATTAGTAATTATTATAAGAAAAACATTAAATATAGAACTTACTGGAAGTCTTCTTTGATAAGGCTTGGATTTATATCAAGCACTTTGTTGAAAATAGCTTGAGCCTGAATGGAAAAAGCACATTTGTTGACTGAAATGTGATATGACAAAAGAGAATACTTGTAGGTGTGCCTATTCAGCTAAGTGTCAAAGAGGATTTTGCTCCACAAGTTAAATATTTATGTGATAATTGACATGTCATACAGCTGATTTAAACCGATTAGGGCAACGTTTCTGGGAAGAATAGACTTCACAAATGTCTGGTTTTAGTTTAAGTGTGTACCTGTTGTGTGTTCCAGGGTTTAGTGGCTGTTGTACTGAGGTTGTTGACCAGCTGAACAGTCCTGGACATAACACTGACCAAAGGAGTGGAGAGAAGTAAGGGCTCCACCTCATCCAGCCAGCTTGGCACATCTAAAAACCCCTAAACAGAGCAGACATGAGACGTTCAAAACCAGGACGTGTTTTGTTACATCAAAAGATCATGATATATTTGTCAAACTGAAAAGTGTACAATTGACTTACCCAGAGTTTTGTGGAAATGGCATTAGCTTGAGCTGGATTGAACTTTGGAGTCTGCTGAGCCATGGACGGCAGCGAAGACAGAAGCTTTTCAGAGGTCAGCGTCAACAAAAATTCACTTTTCACTCCTACAACAAGAGAGCCGAGCTGCTGCAGAGTTCCAGGGGAATTCAACTGAAAGGAGAGGTTTAATTTGTGACAGTGGATGTAACTGTATTCACACAAAATACATATAAAACAAGAGCTTACTTTCACAACTGAGGAGAGCTTTTCTACAATTACGGAGGCCTGTTAAAACAAGATGAATTTAATTTGTAAGACATGTAAGAGTCCAAATTGTTTAAAATGGAGCAGAAGGGATAAGAATTCCACCATAGAAATGAATGTTTGTTATTGTTGTTAGATACCGCTGTTATTGCTGTCTATCCACATGGAACAAAGACGGGCACAAAGTTCAATATCAGCTCGAATATACAAAAGGGAGACATTTTTACTCAATAACTTCCATCCATCCATCCATTTTCTTCCGCTTCATCTGTTGCCAGGGCGCGGGGGCAGCAGTCTAAGCAGAGACGCCCAGACTTTCCTATCCACACACACTTCCTCCAGCTCATCCGGGGGGACTCCAAGGCGTTCAATAACTAATGCCTTAGGGCGTTATTGTTATAACTCAATAACTTGGGTTATTCAATTAACTTTTTTATAATCATCATCAACAAAGCGTGGTGCTGTTATTCAGGCCAAAAGCCGTCCGTCTGACAGACAACAGCTGCGAGGCTGCCGCTCTAAAGCCAGGGCGGTGCTTGGTTCATGAGCTCAGTTTTCTGCAGACAGCTGTCTGTCAGCGTTGCCACCTGCAGCAAATCAAGCATGTAAAGAACAAACTAGGGCTTATGTAGTGAAAGTATCCACATGGTGTAATAGAGCAAGTCTACACCTTTATAAAGCCTGGGTTTGAAACAACAAGAATATAAACAAAAGACACTTAACACAATGCTGGCTATCTATTGGTAATCACTCCATGCATAGTGTTTAATATTGATATAAAATAATTGTTTCAAGGAATCCCATTAGATTTGCTGGCACACTGCAGTTGTAAGAGTTGGCAGGATGTTGTACCTGAGCAGGGCTGAAGGTCACAGTCTTGATGACTGGCAGCATGTGGAGCAGGTGCTGTGGACTCAGACTCTGGATGTAGCTCACTCCGAGCATGGGCAGAAGATGAGCCGTCTCCGAACTCTGCTCCGCTGTCATTGTCGATGGGTCCTTGGACTGGGCGCCGTTTAGGAGCAAAAGAGAAAGCTGCAAACACAAAGAGCGTGTTTGAATTCATTATTGATTAGTTGTTATTGTTATTAGTTGTCGTTATTGTTTTCAGAAAATATACCAAGCGGCTGGGCAGATTGAGTCCATTCCGGGTGCAGTTTCTGATTGCTTCTTGGATAACAGGAAATGCTTTAGTTCCATTATATGCAATAAGGTCTTCTGGATCAGCATGACATGTGATGTTACCAAGCCTGCCAAATTATATTTGATTAACACTGAATAAGCAACAATCCAAAATGTATTTAGACATACATATATTTAAAGGCAAAACAACACAACAATAAACAATTTAGTTGTGATAATCCAAGAACTGACCTGATAAAATCCTGTGCTGTGAGGTTTGAGTATGTCCCAATGACTCGTTGTGCTATAAACCCTTGTTTTATTGGGCTCAAGGTGTTGTTCATTAGAACGTCTAAACCGTCCAGGAGCTGTGAGAAGAAACAAGTAAGTAAGCAATCCTTATTTTATATAGTGCCTTTCACAAACTGAGAGTAGGTGCAACTGTTGTGGGCATTTCTTTCTCTCACTCCACCGAACACTCATGACTATTGTACATGTTTTTAGTAATAGAGGAAACGTACAGAGGCACAGGATAGAACATTTCACCACTTTGTAAAAAAAGGATAACTTAATTTAACTCCATACAAAAAGGTCTTGTTCGAGGAAATAAAACCGGGACCACTATGCCGTCCATAACAACAAATAAGATGAGATAATCATTATTGATCTCACAATGGAGAAACACATCAGGCATATGTGCCCTCTCACAAGGTAAGCCCCCTGTCTTTATTAATTAAAGTGGTTCCATGTTCATTTATTGATTAGACGCAGGAAGCCCCAGCATATGAAATGTGACAGAGACAGAGTGTGTGCTGTCTTAAGTTGGCAGCATTGGGACTTGTAGCAGTGTTTTGCCTTGGGGCTAATGGTACACAGATGCCCGGCTTCTCCAGTTTCTCCGTCTGGTATCAAAGCTCACAGGCTGGTTACCTGAGCAGCAGAGAGGTGTTGGAAGTAGTAGAAGGGCAGGTAAGCGCTCAGGTTTCCGATGGCCCTGATGAGCGATTGTTGACCTCTGATGATGGTGATGGGGTCTAGTGCTGTGCCAAACCAGGCGCCAAAAGCAAGCCGCTGCTCCAAAGTCATCTGGTTCAGTTTAAGGTTGATAATCTCTCGCCTAAAAAAAGACGGATTATGGTTTAGAAAATACTTTACTTTTATAGAATGTTAGAGATTACCCGCACATGCAGCATCTTTACAAATTGATGTGTAGCCCATATAAAAATAAAGCAAATGTTGTATTTTTAATAATTCCAGTCAGATTTATGAATGTTGCATACATTCACTAAGCATTTTGATCAGTTAATTCACTGCTACATTTTTCCAATATTGTACTTATTGGCATTAGCAGTAGTATCACTATCAAATGCACATAGTTATGAATGGGGGCTAGACTACAAATGTAGGTCAACCACGGCCACTTGCAACTAGTGAGTGTAGACAGGTGCATTCATGCGGTTGTGACCCTGCGTGCCTCAAATGTATGTGTTTCTGAACCGTGGACCACAAACGTTGTAAAACAAAAGTTGACTGTTTTGTATTGGTTTGGTCATTCAAGAGTGCAACAGATGCATAAAGTTTATTTGATGCATCCATTGTACATCACATCTTTTTGATAGATAGATAGATAGATAGATAGATAGATAGATAGATAGATGGATAGATAGATAGATAGATGGATAGATAGATGGACAAATATATAGATACTTTATTGATCCCCGTAAGAGAAATTCAGGTGTCCAGCAGCAGAAACCTCATCCAGGTCTGTTGAACAGTCTGACAGCCGAAGGAACAAAGGATCTCTTAAAATGTTCTGTTCGGCAGCGCAGTGATAAAAGCCTGTTGCTTCGATTACTCCTCTGAGCGGCCAGTGTCATGCAGAGGGTGTCTGAAGTTACCCCGGATGCCCTGATTTGTTGTTATTTTTGCACTGTACTGAAAATTTAAATGATCTTACTCAAACACAAAATAAAAAAAAAAACATTTTATGATTTTGTGGTTTTACATATTAAGACAAGTGCCATTGGTGGTAGGTTGAGGATATAGTAATAATATCAGGTCTAAGCCACTCAGTTGGAAGAGCATTGGTCTTTGGACCTAATGGTTGTGGATGAACAGGTCTAAGGACAGTGATGATCTGGGACATTTAAGGACATTTATTAACATTTATGGACATTGGGCATTTGCTCCCATTGGACCAATGGCTTCTATGTGTTTATTATTATTGCATTTCCTGTGTTCTAACTGTTTGATTCTCTGATCTGTTGTTGAGGATTCAACAACTTTGTAAAGTCCTCCGAGACAATGGCTGTTGTGATTTAGGGCTATACAAAAAAAGTTGAATTGAATTCATATTATTTATAATTTAGTGTATGAAACAGTAAGTCAGAGTTACGTGTACACAGTGAAATCCGTGTGGAGGATGGAGCATGAAATAAAGTGACCTGCTAAGTGAATACTTACTGTACATAGCACTTAACTCTTAAGAGTTAATTCTATAGCCTGAATAGGTTTCCTTTACTTTCTATGCATAATGTATGTCTCTTGACACTTCAGGGTGTAATAGCATATTGCTGCTTTGACCAGTCTGATATAGGAGCTAACTTTAGATTACAGCATTGTTCACGAAAAGCTGCGAGAGAAGAGCATGTTATTTGGGAACTTCACACGAGAAACGTTACCGAATGTATGATTGTCATTTTCATATTATTACACCATTATATGAACATGGGTCAAATCAGAATATTTTGAATTTGCTGACAGAGTTAAGCCTTTTCCAAAAATCAAGATGGGAAAATGTCAACTCAACTTCTTCAATCTCCATTATAGACATATGCGTTTAACTTAATCCTGTGCGAAGTTTGGCTATAATTTGGACACTTACAATTAATAATTTGATTAGTGCTTTCTCCAGCTTGTGCTCAAGTATAAATCAGATTTCAATGAGATAAAAAATCCAGATCGATCAAAACGATGCCAGCCGAGCCCAAAAAATCCCTCATGGAGCCATTGTGGGACATAGACAGTGAGATAGAGCAAATGTAGGCATTTCATCTCTAAAGTCAAAATTGATAAAACATCTTCTTCAACAATTCCTGAACAAACATCTGATAATAAAAACATTAGTTTTGCCAGTTTTGCTTTGTCTTTGTTTGTTTTTGTTTAGGGTTAGTGGGGATTGAGAGTGGTACAGGACTTACACCTCATTGTCCTTCTGCAGCAGTGGCATTGCGAGGATGTCGGATGGACTGGTCAGAGTCAGGAGAGGAGCCAGTTCAGAAAACAGAGTCACATCCGAGAACAGGTGTGTCTGGAAGAGTACTGACGCCAGCGTTGGCAGGTACTTCTGAGGAAGCTGGAATAAACACAGATCACTGTCAGGAGGAATGTGATACAGGCTTTCAACCCAAATATCCAGTGACACAGAACGCTCACAAGCTCATGACATAAGTCCATTTATTTTTGGGTGATAAAGCTACAGCTCAACAACAACAACAACAACAACAACAACAACAACAACAACAACAACAGCAAAAAAGTAGCAAATGGAATCCCAATAAAGTACAGTATTTTATTATGTGTTACTGACTTTACGCTTTGGATTCACAAGTCTCTCCTTGGCCTCACACCAAATAATTGTTAGTGCCATATGAACAACGTGGACTCTGAGAAGCACAGGGACTGGTCTCCTGCTGGTGCCCAGAGTCAGGACTTAATATGGGGCCTTTCAGAAATCTGGAACTGTCTTTCTGAATATTCTACTCTGGCAATCCAATCCCCTCTGTGCATACGACTGAAGGATTGCATATTTTGAATGTACTATTATCATTTATGATATGAGGGCCTTGTGTGATTTTAATATTTCATTTCTTGCTTTGTGGACTTTAAATGCCTGGTGTATGAACAATGGTATATAACCGTCCTTGTCTCTGCTTCAGACCCAGTCATTCTTAATTGAGCAGAAAATAAAATAGGCAACATCAGTAACATCTCTTTTAGTGTAATTATTTTTTACTCCATAATTATTCTCTTATAATTAGCATACTGAAAATATTCTCCTCATGCACACTTTGTTGAAGCCACCCACATCACAGCGCACCAGCCCCTCACTGATCCTCCTGCAGGGGGTGAGTCCACAGGAGGTTGGCTGCTCAGTCTATGAGAGCATAGCCTTGATCTTTCAGCGGGGGCTTCAGGCAAAGTGAGGTTAAGTCTCTTGCTCAAGGACACAACGACAGCAGACATCAGTAGGAGTGGGTGGAGAAGGTCTTTTAGGGAATCGAACCCATGACCTTCAGGCTCAACGGCCAATACTCTACCCCCTATCGCCCCTGAGTTGAAACCCCAGGTGCTGTTATCGTATCCCATGGTGACAGTTGTGTTTGTGAGTACAGTGGTGTCACCTGCAGTGAGTTCTTGTGTCTGCTGTAGTACACCAGGAGCATTCTGATGGTTGAGATGTGAGATCCACTCAGAACCTCGCGCACAGTGTCCACTGGGATGTTGAAGAACTCCTGTAGAAGAACCCAAATAGTCACAATGTGAATATAAACTACAAATGCCTTCCTTTCTTCACCTCTCGATTACGGTGACGCACTTTTCTTCAGCCTTAATAGAGCACTACTTGACTGTGTATATAGTAAATTACTGTAAGAAATATTGTCAGTACAGAATTAATTTTAAGTTCTTGGACATAAACTTTAGGCCGAGTGCCAGGTCTGCCAATCAGCATGGGTTATTACACATTGAGGGACAGAGCTTTTGATGCTTTTGTTGTAACAAACTATGAAATACACTCCCCCTGGATTTCAGACCCGTAGTTCTCAAACTCCAAAGCTCCACCTTTTGTCAGTTTCACATCAAGTTTCTGTGAGAAAAACTAGAGTGTTAACCCATGTAGCATCTAGTGAGCAAAGTCTGTATATTATGAGAGGAATGGCCAAGTGGTGACATCATCGTAGTGTTAGCCCAAAAGCAAAAGAAGCTGATTTGAACATAAGCTAGCTTGAGCTAATTTCCTCATATGGGCGTTTGTTTTTTTTGATGGTGTTAGCTTTGCACCATAACAGAGGCAGACATGTCGCTAAGATTGATGCTAAGGCAAGCTAATGATACCCCAGTGAATGAAGGCATCTGATTGGTCAATCTTAATGGCTCACAGCCGAATTTACAATAACAATACTAAAGTACCACAGTACCACAGAAAACACTAAACAATAGATTTTCTCTGCCAAAAATGGTCAGTGTGACACGAACAACAATGTAAGTTAATAGGAACCAGCGTATCCCTATTGGGCTTCATTGAGCTTAGCATTGTCAGCATCTGTATACAGTCTATGCTTGTCAGTCGATCTCTATGAAAGGCACTCTATACAGGTGAGACACAGAACCTTTGACTATTGTTCAAAAGTATATTTATTTCTGTAATTCAACTTAATATGTGAAACCAATATATGATATCCACTTATTAATTGCAAAGTGACAAATGGCAAGCTTTTGTGTTCCAGTTTCAAAATATTGTCATTTTCTAAGGTTTTTATAAGCTGTAAGCCAATTATCAACATTATGACAAATCTCACTTTGCGTGTATTGCGTCTGTCATATTGTTAGTTTCACTGTTCAGTTTTATTCAAGTTGAATTATAGAAGTAAATGGACTTTTGAACAACATTCTAATTTGTTACCTGTACTTATTATAGTTCAGGTTTAAGTAATAGCTACAATGCTACAATGTATGGATGCCGGTCAGATGTGTGTGAAATGATGATGAAATATTACCTGGAAGAAAACAAAGTCTTCCTGGGCCGCACCCCGAGGTGTCTGCATCAGGCTAGTGAGCACTCGCTGTAAAATACAATACACAGACTTTAAAATGTCAATTTGAATCAGTTTGTTTGTTTTGTGTTGAGATTGTGAGAGCAGGTGTTTTGTTTGATCGCACAACACGGCTGCATTCATAATGTAGATATCACTGACAGGAATGCAACTCGATCCAGTGTCGCCTCTGGCCCGGGTCAAGCTATACTATGACATAAACGTAGGCCGCATGATCACAGAATTACCTACTCATTAAACAGTCAAGTGACTGTTAGCCAAAGTTTTCTTCTTTCGATTTGAACACTCAAAGATCTTTTTGCAGTGTTAAATAATTTGCTTTCATTCACTATATTTACAGCAAAAGCACATATTGTTTGGGTATACAATTAATGACAGGTATAAAATGGATTCCAATTACACCAATCCATTACAGAAATGGTGTAAACAAGCCGAAGCCAGAGTACCTTACATTATAACCACAAAAAATGTAGTTGCTCTAGTAGCTCGCTCTCAAAACAGTTTGGTTCTATCACTAGTTTTCATAAGCATGTTTTTTTTTTTTTGCCTCTGTCACATCATTACATCAGCTTTTTCAGACAGAAATGTGAAACATAAAGGACCACTCTTGCTCAGCTCGAAGCTTAAAGCAAAAAGTGACTAACAGGGCTCTTTCATACTATCGGCATGTTCAGGTCTGATTTGGTTACATTTGACTTTTATGAGACTCTTTCTGTTGGGATAAAACATGTTTTATTGTAGTAAGTTAGATAACCGAGCTTTAATCTCTTTCTAGTTCAGGATATGTGCATTTTCTATTTTTTAAATTAATTGTGATTTATTTGTCTGCCAAATCATAACATTTTTGTAAAACGTCTTACTCCAAAGCATTGCAGCATCACCCTCTTCTTGTCGAAGTTGGTTTCCTTTTTTAGAAACTTGTCCACAGTCATGAGTACATTCAGGCGTATATTCTGGGCCACATGATACGTGGTGTTCTGGATCTCCTCCAGGGCCAGCAGCGAGACCACAGCCAGACTCACTGCCTGGTCCAGCATGGTGGTCACTTGTGGGGTCAGCACCTCTTCCATACGGGACCTCATAGTCTCCAACCAGCAGCGCACAACCACTTGCAACATCGCGTTCTGCCCGACCCCAGGGAGACAAGCCCTGGTGAGGTCCTGTGTGCATGTCCAGTTAAACTTCTTTGCTAAATCTTGAGCGAGGCACATAGGACCGGTTAAGTTAGCGTAAGGGGCGCACTTCGACATCACCCAGGCGCTTGAGGGCTGTTTTGAAAGCACAGGCAGAAGAATCTTATTTGGGCAGATAACAGAGACAAAATTGGCTTGATCATGCTCCCAGCAGAGTGTGATCAGAAAAGACTCTGGAAGAGAACCACTCCAGCTCAAATATTGGCAATGTTTGTTTGGGTTGAATCCTACAAAACCATTGCCACCACCGGGAGCTTCTGTAGTGGTATGTTTGGAGCAGTGCTGTATAAGCCATGCGTTGTCCTGGTTGGCCAAGAGGTTTTTTAACACAGTGTTGTTGAGGCAAACTTTGAAAATGAAGTTATCTGGGTCACCTTCTGCACAGACGGCCACCTCTGTCATGTCCACTATTGTGGGTTTTGTCCATTCAGTGTACCTACAAACCTAAAACAAAAAAATCAAGTCAATATAAGTGAAAAATTACATCCATGATCATACTGTACTACTGACCTGTTGTATGAGGTGGGCCTTATCAATCTCTTCCGTATCATTACAAGCTGTGCGTAGCCATGCGTTGAGAGGGTCTTGGAGTAGCCATTGAAGAAGTGTTAGGTTGCAACAGACCTTTTTCTGAAAAGCAAGTGAGTCATGCTGCCAACACAAGCCCACCACTGAGTCATCTACGTGACGACTCTCCCACCGTTGATAATCGCACCACTCTGTTGCATTAAAGTTGTCACGATCTGGAGACTGTATATCTAAAACAGCTTTTGCACAGTGTGGTTGCAGCCATTCATTTTCCCTGTTGATAAGAAGTTTGTTTAGAAATGTTTGGTTGGAACATACTTCTCTGGTAAAGTCCTTTGCGTCGAATTGGGAGCAGATAGATATGATATTCATATGAACCCGTGTTGGTTCACGCCATAGAGAATATTGGCATGGGTCAACGGAATCCGGGTTTGTTGGAGGAAGATCAGGCATGGGTAGCACTGCTGTACAGTTCGGAACGAGATGCAAATTTCTGGGATTGGGAAACAGCAGCATAAAGAACCCCACGTTTTGACATATAAGCAGCGAAAGGCGGTCTTTGTCCAGGATCATGCAGAATTCCAGAAGATATGAATCAACTTGCATAGATTGGAACATCCACTGCTCATAAAGACAGAGCTCATTCACCATGTAACCCAGGTCAGCACTGGAGTTCCCACAATACGCATACAACCAGTAATTTGTAGGGTCTGAAACCAGCTTCTTAATAAGTGAAGCGTTGTTACACACATTTTGAACAAACTCCTCACGCTGGTTGTCTCCACACAGCGACACCAGCACGGGGTCAACTAAGATATTGTTCATCCAGCTGTTGTAGTTGCAGGCGAGCTGGTTGAGATTGGAGGCCTCTCTGACTATTCTCAAGGGGACTTCTTCCAGCGGTGAGACGGTATGTGCGGCATAGAAGCCAGGGGAGGGGAAAGGGCCTATAAAAGGACAATTAGAGGCTGTTCTGGATGCTAAAGGCGACATGACGGCTTCGAATATGTAACAACCATTACGCCACACTGATTCTATCTGTCTTGCGTTGAGGGAGCTAAGGGCCTGGCAGAGCATTAGCACAAAGGCAGATGATGGTTGCCTCAACCCGGATATAATTTCTGGACAAATGGTATCGTTTAGCTTTGCCAGATGCTGGTGGTTGCATTGCAGTAGGATGTTGTGGTAGATGTCTGTGTTGGATTCCAGATAAGAGCGCTGCAAAGGGCCTGTAGATGGAGGACAGAAGCCTGGGGGCGAGCAAAGGTACTGGTCCGGAGCCAAAAACATGTCCAGGAGGATGTCGATAAATGCTGTACTGAAAGACCAGCTCACATTGTGACGGAGCCCCCTAATAAAAACAGAAATAAAAATATTGTTTAAACTTTTCAGATGGGCAATTAATTACTGACCATTTTATTCCACAGCATGGAATTCCATAAATAACCATGTGATGCAAAGTTACAGATATATTTGGAGGAGAGGGTAATCTTGTAAAAAGAGTTGGGTCTAGACTTCCAAGGGAGGTGTCCAGGGAGCATCCCACAGTCATATTCGAGCTACTTCAATTGGCTCCTCTCCTCACCCTATTGCTAAGAGAGCGTTCAGCCACTTTGCGAAGGAAACAAATTCTGACCGCTTACCTGTAAACTTCTGTAACAGTAAACCATAAATAGAGAGAAAATTGAGCCTTTTAACACAAAGCTGATCCAGTTTGCAAACCTACCTAGGTGTGGGTTTTAGTTATTTTGAGAAAAGAAGGTGGAGGACTTCCTGAAGAGCATTGTGCAACTTAAGAAAGCATTCACACTTTGAATTTTGTCTGTAAACTGACAGAAGTTAAGTTTATAGGGGCTCTACTTCATACCGCTTATTTTTTGATATTTTGTGTGTTTTTATGCCCTCTGCTGCTCAAATGAATAGCCCCTGGTGGGATAAACAAAGCATAGTCTGAATCTGATTAGAGACGTGGACACGCAATCAAGTTAAACTGCCACCATTATAACAACATACATAGTTACATTTTAAGTAATTAGAATCACCCATTGGCTTTACTATCACGGTGTAATCAAGTAGTGCGTCGTGTAAGACTTACCACATAATGAGCTGCTTCAAATCACCTGAGAAACAAACAGAACAATCACCTCCATGTAATGTGTGTTTGACTGACAACATCTCAGGTGTAATGATGCAATCAAAATAAAATCAAAATCTCACCGTGCTCACACATCCCCTGTTCGTCCAGCGTCGGTACTCTGATCCCAATCTGCAGAGCTATCATCACGTACTCAATAGGTACTTCTAGAAGCGAAAACAAAACCTCCAACACATATTTCATCATGGTGTCAACAAGGCCACTGACAGCATTCACCAAGTCTCCTGCGCCTGGGAAATATGTCAAGATATCGAAAAACATGTCCTGGATCTCACTCAGTGTTTCCACAGTGGAGTCGCTCATGTGGAGATAAGTTTTGAAGAAGCTGTAGGACTTTCCCTCTGCGCCCAGGGAGGAACAGGTGGGACTGGTGAGAGACCTCAGCACGGTCAGGAACGCTGGCCCCATTTCCGTGGACACAGTCCTGATGAGCTCTGCTTCTGTCCCGCAGTCCTGTCGCTCTGATAAGATGCATACTAGAGTCTGGGGCAGGTCCTGGACGAAGCCCTCTCGCATCAGCGGCTGTAGAAGCACATACAGGGTGCTGATGATGCTGTAGTACGCGTTTATGTCCGTTCCATCCACAGGCAGAGGGTCGAGGCTGCTGCGGCCCTGGACTTTGGGATCAGACAGAGAGTGGATCTGCGCGACCAGCCTGCCGATCTCCTCCAGGTTTGTGGGGCTGGTGGGAGTGGGGTTTGACTTTCTGTGGATGATTTTGGACTCGGAGGAGGCCTGCTGAACCGCACAGATGAATGCTGTGAAGAAATGCATTAATTTGATTAACTCAATTTTAAGAAAACTTACATTATTTAGAATGAAGCCATAATGATGATTACAGGTGAAACTCATATTGTTCAAAATTATTTTTACTTCGGTAATTCAACTTCAACAATGTGAAATGAATATATGACAAACTCATTACACAAAGTGAGATATGTCAAGCCTAGTTAGATAGATAGATAAATGGATAGATAGATAACAATATGGATAAGACATAACCATCAAAATGATAGTAAACAAAGGCTTGGCATATGTCACTTTGCATGTAATGTGCATAAACTGTAAATATTAAAATGTGTTTATGAGATATTGGTTTCACATTTTATATGAAAAATAGATTGATACATAGGCAAACAGATGGATAGGAAAACACTTTATAGTTGAATTATGAATGATATTCTAATTTTGAACGTTGTACATTGTAAACCAGTGAATTTCAGCAAAGGAAGCAAATAGTGGTTTTGTCTGGATTTATTTATTGCTTTTGAAGTATTAACTTTTGAGGCATAAACTGATAAATTATAAACAGCGAGTTTTTTTTGTAGGCTAATACAGTTCTATTTTATTTATAGCCTGAAACCAAATGACTACAGCACAAGAATTAAAGGCCAAATTGTGATTAGAACGCCACTAATATTCTGTAGACAGTAATGATCCAGGACTTTTAAGAACATTTATTAACATTTACGGACATTGGTCATCCCACCCCCTATGGACCAATAGCTGTGTTTGAGATTGTTATAATTAGTTTGATTCTCTGATTTGTTGTTGAGGATTCAACAACTTTGTATAGTCCTCCGAGTCGACAGGTGTTGTAATTTAGGGCTGTGAAAAATAATCTGAATTGATTTGGTATAAAATGTTGGAAACCACGTGTAAACATGCAGAACTGTTCAGAGCCCCAAATGCAGTTCAAAGACACTTCAAAAGGCAAATATGAAAAGCTCATAAAGTAATTTGCCACCACTAGAAAATGATTCCCCAAAATATCCTTTTACAAATATGCATGACTAAAGAGGTTCGTTTATGGTAGTGATTTTCCACTCTCTGTGCAGTTTTGAGGACCCCCTCGAAAACGTGATGATTCATCTCTAGGGGCTTGTACTCCAAACAAATAAATAAACAAATACAAAAATAATAATAAACCACTCCCTCCAACATCCTGACGCGTCAATCCATTGACATTAAATATGAGTCAATCCCTAGTTACGTAACAACATTTATTTGAACAGAATCAAACTACACTAAATATGATAAATAATTAGGTCATAAATGCTTGAATCCGTTGTATTTTTTTCTTTTCTTTTTCATCTTAATATGAGTACATTCTGACCGTCTTAAAACAGGATTTGCCAATAATGGGACAAAGCCGTTTAGCCTTAATTCAGAACTGTTGCTTTATTTTCTCATTCCAAGGGAGACATTTCTTGTATCTTTTGGAACCAATATCATTTTACTTGTCCCATTGGCAAATCTTGTTTAAAGGCAGTCAAAATGTGTTCAACTTGAGATATACTTAGTCAAATTTGAGCATATTTTTTGCTTGTTTTCATCACTTTTTGCAGCTTATTACATTTACAAACACGCCAATATCACGTCACAGCGCGGCTCCTCACCAAACAGGACCCCTGCTCCGCCCGTCAACCGCATGCTCGCTCCTCGGGGTCTCCTCATCCAGTGAAGACCACGTATCCAGTTGGAGATGAGTTGTTCAAATGAAAAAGTTGGGCTCGATGTGCAATAAGGATACACATATTTTTTTGTTTTGCACTCAGAATCTCCGGGGCAGCGCACGGGAGGATGCGCGCTGTGGATGTGGAACCCTACACCAGCCCGAGGGTAATTAAGACCGAGGGGAAGGGCCGAGCGGAGGTGCGAAATGTGGGCCGTGAAACGCAGACGGGATTTCTTTCTGGATCAAGCACAGCCCTCAGCGATCAATTATTCACGCGCTTTGTTGATTAACTCCTGCGTCTGAAACCTGAGTTTGAGCTGAGGAGCCAGGAGACACCAGAGAGCATGGATCTGCACGCATCACATAATGGGGCTATTACCAAACTTTAACTATCGTCATTGGAAATTATCACTGCGCCTAATGGATAAACTGGCACGCATCAGTTTGACGTTAAAGCTGGGGTACCTAACTTTATCGTTTCTTTGTTACAAGTCGTTCTTCCCAGCAGATGTAAAAGTCTAATTTTGTGAACATCATCATCATCATCATCATCTTCATCCCTTTATTTCCATTTCTGGGTCGGGGGGTGGCAATCAGAGCTGCCACCCAATACACAATGCACCAGTCCCCCACTGATCCTCCTGCAGGTGGTGGGTCCACAGAAGGATGGCGGTTTCTTCAATGCAGATGCGGCCTAGATCTTTCAGCGGGGACTTCAGGCAAAGTGGGGTTAAGTGTCTTGCCCATGGACACAACGACAGCAGTCATCAGTGGGAGCAATGCATATAATTTGCTAAAACTTATAAAGTTGCACCCCTACTTGAAAAAAGTATTCTAAATGAACGGCCAATACATAAAGATTGTAGGAATACAACTTTTTGACAACTTTTCTAAATAGAGATATATCAGTTTATGCAAATGAACTCTCCAAATCAGACGATATCATGCTCTCTGCATCCTTATACAAAAGATGAGATCTTGCAGGCCTACTACTATTTGACAAGGCTGAGAGCTGATTAGTTAAGAAAAAAACGTTCCCCTTTCATTGGGTGGCTGAGTGGATAGCACTCCGACCTCTCAGCAAGAAGGTCCTAGGTTCGGATCACGGTCGGAACAGGGCCTTTCTGAGTGGAGTTTGCATGTTCTCCCTGTGTCTGCGTAGGTTTCCTCCAGGTGCTCCGGTTTCCCCTTCCACTAAAAACCTGCAAAATTGGTATGAATGTAAATGAGAGAGTGAATGGATGGTGTTGATCCACACCGTGTGTGGAATGACTGGTACAATATCTGAACATTGTAAAGCGCTTTGGGTGACCGTGGTCTGTAAAATGTGCTATATAAATAAACATTACCTACTACTTTGCGCTCTGAAGATGTGAAAGCAAAAACTAGTGATAGAACCAGTTTTTAATACATAAATCCAATTTTGTGGTTTGAAAGCTCTGAGCAACACAATGAGATTTATATGACAATCTTATTGTTTCACATTTCCCTTACCAAGTGCATAAAGAAGCCTGTACCGCTCAGGTTACTTTTTCAATTGTCAAGATTTTTTCCCCGTCAAGCACCTCTTCATCTGGATTGAACAGAATTCTTTTGAAATCCATTGGTCCAACTATTTATTGTCATCCTGCAAATCTTAAGGGTGGTGGTTACACCAAGGAAAGGGTCTGTGTTAAATAGTTGTTTAAAGATACTGTACATATGCATTTTACTGATGTAAAGTTAGTGATACTGATGTCATCTACGTAATTAAGTATTATTTGAAGAATAATTGAAGTAAACAAAACAACACAGCAGACAGATTTCACCTTTAAAACTTTGTTTCAGAAAGTCAATGTAACTGTATATACACTTTACAATAGCATACAGCCAGTTGGTTTACAAAGATGTCTTTAAATACATCACAGAGTAAATTAACATATGATATCTACACATTGCACTTTTCTGCAACATGAAGTGCCATGTTTCAAATTTACTTCAGGACTTTTCCAAAGCAAGGCGTATTCTACATGCTAAGTTCAGTTCAGTGACATTGCTCTAAACTAAAACAAATATTTGTAAGAAAAAGAAAAGTCCATTCGATGTACTTGAATCTTCATTAATACATTTAAAATATATGACATGCCTTTAAAAAAAAAAAAACAAAACATTTCCTTATTTTAAAGGATTTTTTTCTTTAAAACATGAAGCTGCATGTATTGTACAACACTTGTACAACAGACTGGCAATGCACAATAAATGAGCCGAATAAAAACTTCCACCAATCCTTTACATACAAGCCATAAACGTAATAACACTCAGAATAGAGCTGCTGTTGTGACTAAGTGATGGTCTATGGACAATGACCAGAGGAACAGTCTGCACCAGCTGTTCCTCAATATGGGGCAAAAAGACAAATGTTTAGATTTTTTTACATTCATTGTCAGGACAAGTGCACTCAAGACCTGCGTCCGCCATTGTGCCTTGTAACTACGGAACGTTTCACTTTTCATTTGTGGCGCAGAAAGGTAAAAGCTGAAAAAAGACTGAATTTGATGGATTAAGCCAGCGTAAATGTAGAACTGATCGAGTCACTTCAACCCGCTGCACATTCAGAGATCTCCAGGTTTCAGCAATAATGACTTCAGTTCTGATTGTCATTTGCTTGAGAACAAACAATATTGGACATTTTTTGTGTGTAGTTGTATGGCACTGTACAGGCAACTCAGACCAACATAATTGAATCACTTAAATCATAGAATGCACTTAAGCTAGCACAATGGTGCTTATCACTATACAATAATTTTATTTTAAAAACAAGACGAGATCCTGGGAACAGATTTACATCATGAACTCTGGTAAAATAGCTCAGAGAGCCGAACACATTCATTAAGTTAAAATTCTTAAAACGCTTGTTTAACCGTGCTTCTCAACACAAAAAACGTTTGAAACTGAACGAGCTGGGGGCAGGGAGATTAAATTGGCCCCCAGTGAGGGCAGGGGGGTTGAATTGGCCCCCCAGGTGAGGGGCAGGGGATTGAATTGGGCCCCTGAAGGCGAGTGGGATGCTGGTGCCAGAGGACGTGTAGACACATGGGCAGAGATGTGCTACATTATCCATATGCTACAGACAGCCACCACAAGAGAATCAAAGCTGTGACTTCCAGAATACTTGATTATGATAAAATACAATACTGATTATAGACAAATGACAAAAAAAATACTAGTTAACGGTTCTTGTGGTCAATGATCACTTTGAAAATGAATGCCCACGTTTTTTTTTTTTTTTTTTACAAGGATGGATTTTTACTAATAAAATGTTTTGTGGAGTGGCCGTCATTGTTACGCACCAATCAGAAGTCTTCAATGAAAAACAAAAAGCACTCGTTACACCTGCCATTTCATATATTACAAACATAACCAATACAATTCCTATCTGCTTACAAACACCAGAAAAATAAACTGCAACCAACTATAGAAATGTGACCCAGCTACAGAGGAATGCATATGATTTTAGAGGCTACAGTTCTCGCATGTCGCAGTTACTCTAAACACTGTCCAGGCGGCGGAGAGCAGTCTGTAGCCAGCGCTTGCACCAGAGATGCAGAAACATGTCTCTTTGCCAACACGTCCAGAGTCGGCACCAAGAAAAGACAGTCCCACTCATCAATGAATCATTGTCAAGATCCATCTGAACTTTATACGCGATGATATTTAGAAAATTACGTCCATATTTGCAAAAAGCATTTCTTTAAAGACTTTTTTTTAAAAAGAACTTCTAATGGTTTTAAAAGTAAAAAGGTCCCAAAAAAATCTCAACATTTAAAAATGGCAATGTCGTAGTTTATAATCCAATAGATTTTTTTCTTTTTACACTGGTTTTGTCCGTCACTTGTGTCATGATGTCCCACTTGGAGCAAAACGTCATGATCAGTCAGGAGGCAAAAGGTCATGTAGCCGGAATCTCTCTCGGACATGCGGCCGGACGTCATCATTCTGGAAGAGGGAAAAAAGACCAAAACATTAGACATTCTAAAACTATTTCTGATTTCACATTTTTAGCAATAACCAGGACACTTACCATCTCTACCAATTTCTCCAGGAAGGGCACCAGTTTCAAAAGCTCATTGTCATTCTTGTCCATGAACCAGCTCTCAATTGGAATTCCATTGGACAACTAAAAAACATAATAATCTTTAACAAAATTGCCATATATATTTTATTTATTTGAATTTTAATAATCCGTTACCTGGTATGCAAAGGCCTGTGGTGAATTGTCAATGATGATCGTCTTTGACAGATCTCTGCCCAGAATGTTGAGGTCCTTTATGTAGTTTCCCTGGACACAGACACAGTGCTCCCGAAACAGTCTGTGTCTGGTTAACATGAAAGCAGAAGAAGAAAACTAGTGTGAGAAAGCACTAGCATAATTAATTCACTTAAAAGGAATAGGCCACCGTTTTTACATACTGACACATGTTCTTACCTTAGACTAGTTGATGTGTACCCGTCTGGTCTTTGTCCGTGCGCTCTGTCATGCAAACGGAGCACAAACGCAGCCTCTTCCACATACTGTATAGTAACAGTTGCTATGTCCGTGCACTAACTCCAACAAGTGCTGCTTCTATTGACTGAAGTGAGCGGGAGTGAAGTCTTTGGGTGTTAGTGTGCGGACATAGCGCTCCTTGTATTATTACGCCTCACAATATAGTACCCCTTTTTATCCGCTGAGAAAAATCAACATGTTACATTTCTGTGTTACTATACTTTGTAGTGTAACACGTCACGCAACTGTATTTAAATAGGGAACACGTGGAAGAGTTTGGTAGCTTCTAACGGGAGCTGATTTGTTTCTCCGTTTGCATGACAGAGCGCACGGACAAAGACCAGACAGATACATATCAACTAGTCTAAGGTAAGGTAAGAACATGTGTCAGTAAGTAAAAACAGTGGCCTATTCCTTTAAGAACTGGGCTTTCAAATACCTGACTAGCTGCTTCTTAGGATCCAAGATATTCAGCAATTTATCTGCATACACCTTCTTTGAGGCGGTGAAAAGAATGATCTCGTAGATTTGAGACATTCGCTCCAAAAACTCCCTAAAGAATGGCCTCAAACGGACATATACCTGCAGAGAATCATTCATTTCAAATTATTTTTCACAATATCACACATCACTTCTAGTACATAACCAAAATACATTGTAAGCACACAAAAAAACAGTTTATGAATGGGGTCCAACGAGCCTAGACAGAAATTAAAGATGGGCCAAGCTGGTTTCTGATTGTAACTAACATAGCAACATTTTATTGACTTTTTAATATCAATTATTTGCAATACATCATTCAATAATTCATTCAAAGCTAATTATTTATCTTTTATTTTTGACGTTTAAAATGTAGTTTGGCAGACATGTGAGTGACGGTATTGTTAATGTGTCTATGTGCAGCACTATGGAAACTGGAATTGTTAAAGTTGTGCAATACAATTAAAGTGGATTGGAAGAGGATTGATAGTGCATGAGAAATGGCTTTGGTGCCCCCTACAGGAGCCACACAAAAAGGCTGTACCTGGTATATGACATCCTGGAAGAGGACGGGGAAGGTTAGTGCAGCATCCTCCAGTTCATTTAAACTGCAGTGAACCAATGTTTCATCCTTGTCAGGAAATAAAAAAAAAACACACATTTAGAACATGAGCTGTATGGTAAAAAGTATAATCTAAAACAACATAAAACGATAGCTACTAACCAAATCTAAGACCAGAGAAAATTCAGGTGTACTGCGAGTCTTCAGGGGCAATGCTGGCTTACGAGTTAGCTGCTCTTCTGTCAGCGGGGGGACATGCTTGATGAAGAAATATCTGGCAAAAACAAATACAAGGTTATGCTTACAAGATTTACCAAAGGAAAAGAGGTGAATATATGTCTGCTTTTATTCACTCACGGGTCAAACACTTCCCAGTCTTCCTCATAGGAGGTTTCTGGGGGCACGGCCGCAGGAGGAGAATCCACATAGGTTATTTCTGGACTGGAGCCTGGAGCTACAAAACACAAAGACAAATGCATTATTACACAATAATTCGATGAGGCATCAGTGATAAACACATAAACCATTAAAACGAGCATTATGCCTCGTCTTCTGTTCACCTGTAAGCGGTGGTAGATCAGCGTCTGTCTCCAGCTCCACTTCATCAGCTGTAGCGGAGGCCTCTGGGATGTGAGGGGCCCGCAGTGGGGGCAAATGGGACACACTGGAGTAGAAGTTTGTGGCGGTGCACAGTTCTTCTGTTGATGCTCCGGTGATTGTCGGCGTCTCCACAGTCGGCTCCATGTCCAGCTGCTTGACGATCTCCTCGGCCTCCAGTGCCTGGTCCGGAGAGTCAGATCCTGATGAGACTGAAAGAATACCGTTCATTTTCGTTAACGTTAAAGCCTGCATGCTCAAGATGATTCAAAAAGAGATCATTAAATAGAGTATGTCAGCTGTGGTGTGCATCCACAAGTTGAAACCAATATACACATTTGCTTTCTTACCATTTTTAGCAGGTGAAAAGAAGTTGAAAACTGGAGAAAAGATAGTGCCGAGAAGGGTTGTTCTGGGTGGACTAGCCACATCTGCCGTCTTGGCCTCTTCCAAGCTCCCATTGGATTTCTCCTTACTCGTGTCATGATTAGTGGCCTCTGTTAATAATAACAAAAGTCTTCAAAATATATACATACATTATCATTGCAGCAATTTGAAATACATATGTGACTCACGGCCATTAACAGGGCCTTTCCTGCCAACTCTGCTGCGTGGGCCGTTAGCATTTGGAGTGGAGGTGATCAGGTTGTTATCCACGTCACACTGGATTCGGGCCTTCTTGGCCGGGCTTTCCTGCACCTACAATGCACACATTATCATTTTGTTTGATTGAGATACAAATAATTTCCTTTTTCTTAAGTGAGAGAGAGCATCTTATAGCAACCTATAATATTATGGTTTTGTTGTTGTTCCTTGCAGATGCAGGAGGCACTGGTGATGATCCAGGACATTGTATCACAAGGGGCAGGTGCCCAATGTTATTTTTAAAAATCATTTGTGTTTGATTCTCTCATCTGTGTTGACAAATTTACAACTGTTATGATTTAGACTGAAAACCAAAAATCCAATGTTAATATCCAACCAGCATGCAGAATTTGCAACACATTTATAAACCCAACTAGCTGGATATCAACTAATGCTCAGCTGCAGCACATCATGAAGGAGAACTTCAGCGATAAAACATTCTGATCATTGAAAGAAGTGATGTCTTAGTCAAATCTTTAATCTTTAATTTTTTTTAAATCAAATTTAAAATGGCTTATTGGCAGAGGTCAAACAAGAAACACGGTTATTGGCCAGGTATAAAATGTAAACTTGTTTTTATTTTTGCCAGATGTAAAATCGACATTAAAACATCACTAAAAAATGTAACACAGCAAAAGATCAAGGCAAATCAATTTGTATATCACATTTCATACAAGGCTATTCAAATATTTTTACAACATGAAATATAAAAATCATAAAACCAAGATCAATTCCGCAAATGTGATACAGGCCTCTACTGACAAAATTTCCCTAAATACCATTAAAACAAAATATGCATAAAAGGCACTAGAAAATCATACAAAGTATATCTTGAAAGGGTTTTCTCTTTAACCATTACAAAAATGTAAATTATTCTTGGAGGCTACAGAACAAAAGCCTAGATGAATAGATAAACAAGAGAGCCATAACCTTTCTATATTGGAACATGGACTTGGAACTGTGGTGTATTCAATGAGAGTATGTTGAGCTAGCACATTTAAATGTATTACAAAATACATTCAAATAATCATTTTGTGCCACTACAATTTTCATTGTAGCTACATATTTTCTCCTTGTACCCGCCTCCTGTCCTTGCACACCAACTCTCTGAGCTAGTATCTAAAATTAGAACCAAGCTGGACTTCAACAAGCCACTGCATTCCTACAATCATTTCTGTGGAAACTTGACACTGCACAAAGAAACACTGTGTTTAACTCTAAGGGAACACAGGTGATGATATTCCCAAAAATGGCATATACAGTAACAGATGTTGGATAAAAGGGCCAGCCCAGAGCAACAGAATGAAGGAGGCCATTACCTTGACAGCATTTCCTCTGATGAACTTCTTGATGGTGGAGAACAAGCCCCTTCCACCACTTGTAGGAGTGTCCTCTTCCACTTCTGAATGCCGCCGCTTGGTCCTGTTCGTGCGCCCTGCCAGCCCAGAGTTTGACTGCTGAGACGCTTTACGCATTCTCAGCCTCATTGTTGGAGCAGTCACATGTAAATCTGTTAAAACACACATAGAACAAAACAGAACAAAGATCACACAACAATGCTAGATTTTCCGACAAAGGAACATCAAGTTACAAAGAACAAATAAATTTCCTTTACGTACCATACTCAAGTGAATTTCTCCCAACATCTGGATATATTTAAGATCCCATTACACTTACATCACATTGAATCACAGCAGCAGCTGTTTTTGTTCTGCTCATACAGTAGAACAAAAACATTACAGAAATCCTCTGCTATCTTTTGAAAGAAACACCCAACAGTATTTTGCTAGGATTGGAGAAGTTATAAGAGTGGCAGAAAGATAATTGTCGTGTTTCTGTTCAAACCCTTTTTGCCAAAACAAAAGAAACTACTTAAGGCATACTATAGAGTCCGTCTGCAGTGTATGCCTCCCAAAGTCTTGCATAACAACAGCTGGCTGAAAATGTGTCTGGACATATCCAAAACACCGATTAATTAAATTATACATTAGACAGATATGATGCTGTACATCACTCCTTGATCTAAACTACATGGTAATAAATATGATTGTGCTCTTTAAAAAACAAAATGACTTTAGTAATTACCAATTAGAATGAATTAAAATTGGACAAATGACTAACATTTCCACAAAATCTAACTGTGCATTGGAGTGTGAAAGTGTCCCATTAATACACAGATAAACACAAACAATGTCAGACTATTTTATTCGTGAATAGTGTACCGAGGAGGAACTTGTTTGGGCGATCTGAGCGGGAAAGTGCTCGGTGTCTCACTGGAGGTTAGCCCCGCAGACAGCAGCGCTGCGGCCCTCACACTGACACAGTATACACACTGTACACGGTATAAGGTTTGCATCTGGCGTTTAGAAATGTACCGAGAACAAACTCATAATTGTCAACAAACCGATCACGCCGTCTACTGGAGCATCTACCGTAAACAATCAACAATTAGCGTCATTACCAGGATACAGCTAATTTAACCAAACACGTAGCAAGAAAGCTATCACATTAGGAGTCCTGCTCAAAACATGAATTTACAAAAGTTAATCAAAACAACTAGTTAAATACATCCGACACGTGCGGTGCATGTTTAGCTACAAATGTCCATCAGCAATGATGTGATACGTGTGGTTTGCCGTGGACATCGGTAGCATCCAATGCTAGCATACGCTAAGCTAGCGCCAATTCCGTCAACATAAACATAAATATTAAACATTTGTATAAAACTATTAAACACGCCAGGTATTCTTCTATGTTAAGTATAAGGAATACAGCGCCGGGCTAAATAAATGTGTTGTTGCATACACGGATATTATTGGATGTAATTCTAATACATTTTCCCTTAAATCAAAACACGGGATAAAAAAAAAGATATATACCAGCTTTATCCGCATACACACTCGTTAAATGCGAATATTTGAGCATGTTGTGAAAGCAACATCAGAATATTTTAACCCTTTACTTTAAACGGTGTGTCGTGGAATGTTGTAACTTGAGTTTATTGTTAAATTGCAGTCCGTCATGCCTGGTCTACTTGTACTCGTCAAATGGATCCGCATGCACAAAGCCGTGTTTTTGCAGCACTGCTGTTTGTCGTGTCCGTAGTGGGCACTAGGCCGCACATTAGCCGTCCTTTACGATATTTTAGCTTAGCAAACTTAGCTCTGTTTAGCCGTCGCGTAAAGCGCTCGGTGCTCACAGATGTGGACATTCGACAAGCTGCAAAGACATGCTGTCCTGTCTCTTTCCTGCATTGCATAAAGTCCGTCGCTCACGGATCAACACACGGACAGACGTAGACTTACATTACAGTGATCCGCAGTCTCCGGAGATGGCAGCTCAGCGCAGAGAAAACATCTCAGTAAAGGGGTTGTTTGTTTCTGATGTGCCCTGACTTTCGCCGTGGATCCACTCAAGGGCCGTGTCTTCACAACACTACACCGCGTCGAGTTTAGCAGCAGGCGCCATTTCCCGCCTCTCCTCCGAGTGTGAGCAGTAAAGACCCGTATGCACACAGACACACCCCCTCATGCACTCTGCAGAGCTGCTCCGATCCTCATGCACAAGCAGCACTCACACATGGATCTATTACTCACACTGTATTCATATGAACTAAACCATCAACATCGGAGCAAGGCACTTTTGTTAGATCAATTCGTTTTTTCTACATACTTAGGATTTAAATGATTTAAAACCCAGGCCAATGCTAGTTGTGGTTTGTATCTTTTAATTCCAGGCCATTTTTTTATATCACAAATCTAGTTTTATTTCCAGGTTTGTGGACGGAGGGAATAGAAACAGTAACAGCTCATTTCATTACATTATCTAATGGAGGAAAATCTACCTGTAAACTCAGTAAAAAGTCAGTAACAGACATGAGTTAGCAGGTCATAGAATTGTCTATACATCAGTATTGTTACCCAATTTGATTACCTTTTCAAATACATGCATGAACTGAATGGCAGGTATCCTTCACTGTAGTTGTTAATTCATTAAACAAGTCACTGGCATTTTAATGAAAAATAAGTTGACACCTTTTATGTTGGAGTGAATAATTCTTCGTTAATGGAGGAGCAGACCATGGTTGGAGCGGATCCATGATGTAGGGGCCTTTTGTCCTTCTTGTCGTCAGTCGAGATGAGAGGCCACTCAGGATAAGGAAATAGTCAATGTACATTTAACTTTTGTTATAACTTCCAACCACAAGATCAACCTCAACATTGGCCACTAAGGTGATCTTGAGCTCCTTCTGGATCCAATGCCCGTTTCCGAGAAGTCCATGACATTGAATCTTTGAATCCAGCATTGAAAAAGTATCTTGGTGATAGAGGAACATGCCACTGTTTCAGGAGCTTCTCAGATTCACAAGATATCAATAGGCTGATGTCTTTTTCCATAATCCACAGCTCGCTCTCCTTGCATGTCTCGGTCCTCATCATCTAGAAACATACAAAATAGAAATAGAAGGATAAAAAATAAAAACGGATTAGCATATTTCAATGACGCAAATGAAAAAGAATAAAAAACAAATATTAAAATACGAGTGAAAACATAAGACACACTTTTCAATTCAACTTAAAAGGTACGCTGTGTAGTTTTTACTCCCATCTAGTGTTGAGATAATTGCAGTCCAGGGTACTACGGAAGCCTTCGATGGACAATATGTCGTCTTTGACAGTTGTCCCCAACTCTATCATTCACGAAAATTGCCAAGGAAAGAATTCTTTAGTTTGATAAGTGACTGGATCTCCATATGTCTTGGTTACTTGACACAGTAGCGTGGAGGCGACATGTAAACAAGACCGCGTTCTGAAGCGGCACCTGCTGCACAGAGGCTGGAATGAGTTTTACCATGGATCTATTATAATATATAGTTTTACAAACGTGGTGTGAAGAGAAGCGACGCATGGAGGATTAACGTCTGATTAACGTCAATGGCAAATGTTTTGCAGGGATTCAGTGTGTTTTATTTGAGGCTTGCGATGTTGACACGTTTGCGGTTATGACGCTGGTTTCTGGGATTTTGCCAAATTCTTTTTCTAAAAAAATTATTGTTTGGGTAGTTCTTTTACATAACTCCTCCGTGGTTCCTACTTCAAACTTGTCAGGGCACGGTGGAAGCAACAACATCAGTAGCACCTGTGAAACGAAAACTGTTCTCGCATCATTTATTTTCCTTTATCAACCAATGTATTTCAAGATGGCACATTGACATGTATACGTAATATATACATGTAAGCCTATGACAACAATTCAAAAACATGATGGAGGTAAATATTCTTAAAAAGGTCACATTTGTTATTGGTTAACATGTTTTTTTCATTTGGAGCAACTGTAAAAATTACACAGTACCTTTAAGTAAGAAAAAATATATATATATAAATTGAAGCACACAGTAGCTCACAGACAGCATGTATAAACACAAGACGTTAAAATTATGGAACACAAACACAAATGTGATAATGCACAATCGAAAACAGGGACATGCACTTGACAACAGCGAGGCTAATTTTATCGAGTGGACGAGATGTGGGTCAGATGTGGTGGGCACTAACAGGTGCTACTGCTAAAAAGAAGAGCAGGCAGGAAAGAAACTACTACCATTATACACTCACAGAACAGTGCATGAGATCATGGGTTGGCTAAAGTAGTCACTTTAATATTGTTCTTGGGATGAATGATCTGTAGATGTCTTTTCAATAGCAATGTAATGTTACAAATGAAGCAAGTCATTTAAACTATTTGGTTAGATGCCAAAAGAAACAGTAGTCACACAGAAACAAATAATCATTATTATTAATAATCATAAAATATGATTCATATCTCAGATTTAACAAATATATTGTTACCTCTGGCAAGGAGGTTATGTTTTTGTCAGGGTTTGTTTGTATGTTAGTTAGCAAGATAAATCAAACTGTTTTGGGTGGACTTTAATTCAATGATCAATAAACCTCTAGAAAGGAAGACATGATTTGATTTTGGAGGGGATCAGGATCTCCATCCGGATCCAGGTAGGCCCTCTGAGTACTTATCGTTGTGGATTTAGAGATTTCCTGTGTGCTACTGTGACTGAATGCACTGCTGAGACAAATGCAGGGGGCAGCAGGACATGGGTGGAGGGAGGAGGAATGGTGGTGGACACAGTTTGGTCTATGGCTCAGACCGGCTCACCTTGGACGTCTTCCTCCCCACCATCACCATCCTCTTCCTCATTGTAGGCCAGCTCGGCCTGCTTGTCTGCCTCATACTCACCCACGTTGCCGTCGTCCCCATTGTAGTCCGCCAGCTTAGAGCCGTGCTGCGGATCTACTGGGGACTCGTTCTCATCAAAGAACCGGCCTGCAGGAGGCAGAGAAGGGCCTCATCAGGTGGGAAAGGAGATTTGGGCTGGAGTGTTGCAGTGATCAAATCAAATGGCTCTTTGTGAGGACAAAGCCAATGATTGATTCATTGTTGCAGGCTTTGAATTAAAATTATTATCTTTTAATTTATGGAAGAGATGTAGGTAACACCCCATTGTCTGTTTGGCCTGATCAATCAACTAATCAGAAATAGCAGGATTGCTGTGCGCATTAAGTCATTTGTAGGGAAAAGTTGTATTTATTAAGAAGGGGAAAAGCAAAGCATGAACTGGTACCTTCTACAGGAAGCAAAGAAGCCTTCTCTACTCCATGATTGTTTTCATACTTTAGTGGAAATACTGTATTTTATTTCAAATGCAGTATTTGGAAGTCAATAAATATGCAGAAGATACTCAAGGAAAAATATAAATATATCTTGAGCTGCTGGTGTTGGCCGAGGTACTTACTTTGCCTGTGGTGTACGGGTCCGGCCTGGTCTTTGGGGCGATGGGCCTGGATGGGGTTGGGCAGCTGGGCGGGGTTAGCAGGAAGAGGAACAGGCTTCTGATGTTCGATATTTCCAGGGATACGATCAGGAGCTGTCAAAAGGGTAATGTTAGACAATCAATTAGTAGCAGTGACCTTACATGGCACTTTACAAGTGATTAAGTCTCAAAGGCATCATGTGTGTTCTAGCACCACAAATGCCTCAATCCTCAACACATGAGTGTAGGACGGCACGATTAATCAAAAAGGGACTTAAAATACTGTTCCGGATGCCTCCTGGACGCCTCCCTGGGGAGGTGTTCAGGGCACGTCCCACCGGGAGGAGGCCCCGGGGAAGACCTAGGACACGCTGGAGGGACTATGTCTCTCAGCTGGCCTGGGAACGCCTTGGGGTCCCCCCGGACGAGCTGGAGGAGGTGTGTGTGGATAGGAAAGTCTGGGCGTCTCTGCTTAGACTGCTGCCCCCGCGACCCGGCAACGGATAAAGCGGAAGAAAATGGATGGATGGATGGGACTTAAAATAAGCTAAACAAATCACTTGAAATTGTGTGTGTTTACTTGTTTTATGTGTTTACTTGATTTATGGTAAGTTTTCAACATTACAGTGAAAATGTACTAAAACAGATTTATTGTTCAGCCCGAATAAATGGAAATAAAATAATTAATATTTTGAAAATGTCAACTGATTGAACAATGGATGTGAAAGGAGAAGGCCGTGATCAGCTGATGCTTCTGCCTACTTCAATTTGAGCTTTACCTTGTAATGTATGATTTAGAAATAACTTGTGTCCTTTGTGTAAATAAACAAATAAGTATATTTTTACTCAATGAAAGGCCTACTGCAAACAAAGAAAAAATAAGTCAGAAATATGAACTGTCAAACTGATTCAAGAACCCCATACATCTCAAAACTTTTAGAACATGTTCTCACTCAATCTGGATTCAAATACAGTTTATAATTGGTTATTTACGATATTTTCTTCATAGGGCACTGTCCGGTTTCCGAAATGTGCTAAAAATAGCTCAGATGACTGCGCATGCGCGCATGTTTCGGACAAACATTGTGTACGACGCGTTGAGTACTGTGTTCTCCACATACGCGTGTGTATTTACTTGGGCTAAATCATTAAATCATGGTGACAACAAAACACTGCAGTTATGGTGCTTGTCGGAGCGATTTCAGATATTCTGAAAAGGACTATCAAAGTAACATTCAACCCGTTCGTTAAACCACAACATCGGACCAGACCAGGACCAGACCAGGACCAGATCAGACCAGGACAAGTGCAAGAGGTGGGTGCTTGTGGTCGGCAGAATTTCTCTCATGAAAAGGTTAAAAAGGACACATGTTTTTTCAAAACACTTCGCTGGACCAACTGTGGAGCCTCCAGATCCAGTCCTAGCTACGTTTAGCTGGGACTGGATCTGGACCGCTGTATCTGGTCCGTCTGAGCTCTTCTGAATGTAGTTAGCACAAACTTTCTCTTTACACCATTTACCCCCATCAATCCATATTAGTATTGTTTGTCCTAATCCAGAAAGTATACAATTCTCACACCTGAAGAAAGATGAGAGGGATTTTTTTCAACTTTGTGACTATCGGAAAATAAGTTCAGACGAAGCGCGTCGGGGTCCGCTTATTATACGGCTTTGTACCAACTCAACACGCAAAATAAACGTCATTCACTATTAATGCCGAAAGGTTTATTTAATGAGTGCAAAGAAAATAGTTCCCAAAGGTTTTCCCGTGGCAGGCGAATAACAGTGAGGATAGTTAACCTACTTTAAAAAAGCGATCGCTTTAGTTGCATTAAAAAAGTATTTTTGTCATGAAAACCTGAACAGATAATTTTGAAAACCTCCGTGCACTTGTGTTATGAATGTATGTATAATGTATTCTCCCATTAACATTTAAATGTGTCGATTGATGGTCATTTGCGTTTACTGAGTGTGGCTAGCTCCGATAGTTTCTCTCTCAGAGACAGTAGTGGCGTAACCCGTTGTGACCCCATGGATCTGTTATAATATCAGCTGACTGTAGCTAACTAATGATCAAACTAATTACAAAGTGGATAGTGCAAAAAAAAAAAAACTTGATAAATGGAAGTTAATCACAGCAAAACAAACAAAGAAGGCGCTAGCATTGCAATTTAAATGACTAGATAATGTTAGCATAATCCTTACCATTATCTTTTTATCAACTCAAACTTTCTACTGGAAGACCACGACATTCAAGCCAACGTTATAATTGGTCTACACTATGATCCCTGATGGTTTGATGGTGGAATTTTGCCCCTGGTATATCATTTTCGTCTAAAGTGACAAGTGGTATTTGATTCATTTCGGCAGTGTTTGTCCGAAACATGTGGGCGGGAGTTGACAGGCGGCGGGGGCGTGTCTTAGTGACGTCATTCAGATAGTTCGCTATTGCTACCATTGCGTAACATTTCCACCTCACAGTTAAAGGCAACACAGACAGATCTGTTTTAATAGAAAGTGCTAAAGTTAAAGCTCTTGTCATGGTTAATACCTGCTGTAAGACATTTATGTTTTCTATCAGTCAAGCCATTAACTGTGAGGGGGAAAGTGGGAAATGTGTTGAAACTTAAAATCACGAGCCCTTGCATTACAGGGAGACTGAGAAGCATCTATTCTAGACGAGAGAATTACAATTTTGTGTTGAAGCTACAATTGCCTTGCAGCGTTTTTATCTGATGCTGACATTTTGACACAACGTCTACAGTAGTTTGTCTGATGACACTGGACAGAAACGGGACAATAAATGACCTTGTGTGTCAAATGCACTATGAACACTGCTTTCTCCGTGTATGTGTGATTCAAACCATTAATACATATTATCATTGTAGTACTTCTATCATCTTTTGAGTGAGAGTTACCACTGGTCCTCAAGAAGTCTGCTTAATTATGTGAAGTGAAGATGCACCTTGAATCTGCCGCTGCTGCTCTCCCAGTTCATCGGCCTTTATCGCAGCTTTACTGTCCTCCTCAAACACGATAGGTTTGTTCTGGTTACCGACGCCCTTCACCATCAGGACCGGTGCGTGGGCCTCCTGCAGTTTGGGCTGATCCAGAGACAGGCCCTGGGCTCCGGGACCATCCGCCGCTCCCACCCCAGCCCCGACAGCAGCCACCTCCAGGGCCTCGCTCTGCTTCTGAGTGATCGCAGGCTTCTTCAGAGCTATATGTAATGACAAAGAATATAGTCCTCAGATTTTCATTATACAGTCAAATTAAATTAAGGGACAATCCTTACCGAATTGTACGTTTTCTTCAATTTTTCCGACTTCACTGTCTTCAATGCCAGGCATGCCAGCGTCACTGCCCAGTTTGCCCATTTCATCTGTAACAATGCAGACTTTTAAACATGGACTAAAGTGGCTATTACTCAGACAATACACATTTTCACAGCTGCAGACATTATATAATTCAACTTTACTTTGTTGATTTTATGTACACAATTACTATGATCTATTGATCATTTATGGACATGGGTAATTGCACTCCGTTTGAACCAATGCCCCAACAGTTTGTCTTCCAAGACGACTGCTGTTGTGATTAAGGGCAATACATAAATAAATTGGATTGAATCATAAAAAAAAGTGAAATGTTTATTCTGTACACTGTACCCCGTCTTATATGATGTGATGTTATAGTGACATTGCGAGTGCTACAGTATGCTCATTGTGTGGAAAAGTCTATGTATTAAGTTACATAAACATGCTGAGAACATTCTCTCAGATATTTCCATAATGACTGAAAAATAAATTTAACGGTATTCTAATCCATCCTTTTTATGAAGATCTTCTCCAGGGGCATCACCTGAGCTTTGCTATGGTCAAATGTATACAAATCTCATATTTACTAACCTTTCGGGATCCAAGCAACTAATCAATTATCAAAATAATAGTTAATTGCGGCCCTATGTGGAGACACTAGGACGTAGCTCTAGTTTACCTTTTAACTCTGCGGCTCCATGCTGATGCGTGGTCACAGGATGGCGTTCTGCTACCACCTCAGCTCCTTCTTTACCAATCACACCTTTTTCAGTGTCTTTTACATTCTAAAGAAAACAATAAAACATGTCAGACACAAATTATAGCACCTGAGAAATGGCCCTTTCTGAATCCATACATTCCTACCAACCTGTCTTAACTTTGATGCTTCAACTTCCAAAGCCTTTTTTGTTTCTTCATATTCCTCTTTAAGCTGCGCAATTTGACGGCCGCACTGTAAACTGCAAGCATAAAGTGATCTTAGCTGCGAGACGACAATTGAAGGATCAGCAAGAGCCCTCTCAGCCTACCTCTCATACTCCAGCTTTCTCTCCAACGTAGTGCTGTTTTTCTTCACTTCCTTGAGCTGGTCTTCTTGCTTCATAAACTCCTGCTTCAGTTCTTTTAGCTGCTCTGCTCAAAAACACACTCAAAGGTCAAGACAGAGAAAGTGAAATGACTACATTGATTGTTTAGGGTTTGCCCTCTGCTGGACAACACATGTATTACCTTTGAGTCTCACGATCTCAGTCATTTGAGCTGTGACGTCTCCTTGCAACTTAACCTGGAAAAGGAAAAATTCAGTCATGAGCAATGCAGCGGGGAGACTTGTTGGTCCGGTTTGTGACAAAGCATCTTGTCTATATTAAGAGTCATGCAAGGATCTCCATCCATCCATCCATTTTCTACCCTTTAATCCATTTCTGGGTCAGGGGGGTGGCAGTCAGAGATGCCACCCAAGTCTCATAGCACCAGCCCCTCACTGACCCTCTGCAGGTGGTGAGTCCACAGGAGGACGGCTGCTCTCTGAGCGTGAGCATAGCCTTGATCTTTCAGTGGGGGCTTTGGGCAATGTGGGGTTAAGTGCCTTGCCCAAGGACACAACGACAGCAGTCATCAGTGGGAGTCGGTGGAGAAGGTGCAGAGGTGGGAATTGAACCCACGACCTTCTGGCCTTAAGGCCAATGCTCTACCAACTGAGCTACTGTCGCCCTGCAAGGATCTTAAATACTTAAATATGCATCAGCAGTAATATTGGCACTTTTTTATAATTAAACTTGAGAAAAACACGCAAATTTAATGGTTCATTCACCTGCTTTTATCCTTATATCACTTTAAGGACTTGACCATTCAACAGTCGGTAAATTATATGCCATGAGTCAGAAAATGTGGTACTTGAAATACATGACATTAACATATGATGAGTACAAAAACAAAAGTCTTTGCTCTATGTGTTTGTGGAAGGCTGGATTAGAGGAGTGGCGCAAATTCTTAAAACCGGCAAACAGGTTTGAACAATGAAGCTGGGATCCTTCTTTAACATTGTTAAGAACACAGCTTCACTGACAGTTGTGAGCGTTATAGAATGAGTTGTGCAACAGAAGGTTGGGAATTAAAGCTCAGAATCTGATTATATATCAAGGATCAACTTTGGGTCATCGTAATCTCATTATCTTTACAATTCACCACATTTCAGGTTATAGACTGGGAAATCATTTCTTAAATACACAACAAATTGATCAAACAATATCTCAAAATATTGTCTTAGAAGGTAATGATGATGATGTCATAGGGTAAGGATACATCCTAGTGTACCAGGATGTGATCTCAGAGACAATCACGTAATCTTCCGACTTCCCAAAACAGCATTTAAGAGGAGCTGGTGACACAAGCTTATTCAGCAGTGACAGAGAAATGTGCCCATGTACAATCTTAGATGTTTTTGCAAAGCTTTTGTGTTGATACCAGCATGTCCTGCAAATGTCAAAACAGCCAAAGGAGATGAACACTAGTAGTCAATTAAGAACCTCATTAGCCAAAGGAAGTTGTTTTCATTACTCAAAATGTCTTAAACAGGGGCCATTACAGAAAGCATATGGGTTTGACAGACTTATTTTAAAATCATTTTATCTGCAATTGTTGCATTGTCTTACCGGTAAGCAGTGGCCCTTTGAAGTTTCTTTACAATATAATTAATAAAAACTTCTCAACTGTTCTGTGTAATAATCATACACGTGCACTTCAACAAAGTCACTTACTGTTGATTCCTGAAGGGGCAAATGTCACTGCTTCATATGAACATGCAGAGTTTAATGTCGGAAAAGTGTTATGCCCAACTGTGGAATATTGCATCCAATATCCAATGATTTTACAGACAAACAGGAGAAGCATCATCTCCAGTAGTACAAGTCAGGCTCATGGAGATGCAAGCCTGCTCATAGTGAGAATATGTGTGTTATATTGAACTCGGTGCAACAAAATCCTCCAAAGTTACACCAATCTTTAGGATTCGTGTATTCTTGAGCTGCAGTGACAGCGGCTCTTCACTGGTGCGTTGGATACAGTGAAGCCCACTTACCTTTTCCTCTGAGCACTTCTTGATGATAGATTCTCGCGCTGTGATCTTCGCCTCCAGGACGCTGAAGTCCGTGTCCTTCTGCTCGATCTGCTTCCTGTGAGTGTCCACCTGCACCATGAGCTCAGAGTTGCGCTTTTCCAGGCGACTGCGCGCAGCATCTGTGCGCTTCACCTGTGTCTGTACCTCCAACAGCTCATCCAGCAGATGCCCGTGTTTATTAGACACTGTCCAATAGTTGAAAGACAGTATGGCGATGATCACCATCAAAACGATCAAAATGAAGGACGGGAGGCGGCCTCCACGTCGATTCGCACCAAACCCCACCATCTCAAAAACAACAAAGTCACTTCACTGCCCCTCTGTCAAAGTCTTCCGTCTACGAGGCATGCCGCAAATGTAACCACAGGACTATTGAACACTACTGAGTATAGCAATAGAGTTTAAAATCCTTCTTCAACATCACCCTTGGCTACTCCTCAAAGTCCTGCTTTACAGTAGATCTACTTTCGACCTGTTTTAGACCTGCATTAGAGCATCAGGCTTTTCCTTCCGCAGGGACAGGGTCGTGTGTCTCACCCTTCTTTACGCCTTTGCCGAACGCTCGCTGAAACGGAGCCGAGGATCTCGAAGTGAACCGTGAGAGTTAAGACCCACTGGCATAAAGTCCATGGTCACCTGTGAGACAGAGATGTTCCCCTGAAATAGACCAGAGACCTGAGAAACACAAGAGAGAGACCAGGGAAGACAAGAGAAGACAAGAGAGACCAAGAGAGACAGAGACCAGAGAGAGACCATATTAATATTCAAATACACAAGGGGTTTGGTGTGTTAGTTATTGAAAGGCAATAGCGAAGATGTCCCCCTACCCCTCGCCTCCCCCCCTCTCTCTCCACCTCTCTCCCTGCTTCTTCCTCTTATCCCCCTCTCTCCTCTCTCCTCTATAACCCTCTCTCTCCTCTCCTCTCTCCCCCTTCCATCTTTTCTCACTCCCCTCTTCTCCTCTCTCCCCCCTCTCCTCCCCTATGCCCCTCTACCCCCACTCAACCCCTCTGATTGTCTGCACATGGACCAGCCTCCGTTTCCCAGGGCTCGTCGATTTTCTTGATGCAGTTGAGTGAAGCCAAACTGTGGCCACTTCCGATCCTCAGCCTTTCCGGTAGAAAGGCGTTAGCTAGCATCACACGCTATCGTAGAGGTACCAGGCTCGGAGAGCTACCAGAGAGAGAGACACACACTCACTTCCTCCTCCCCTCCTTCTCCTCTCCTCCTCCTGTCTCCTCCACTATGATCTCCCTCTGTCTCCTCTCCTCGTCTCATCATCCTCTCCTCCTCGCACCCTCCTCACCTCTACTCCTGTCTCCGTCCTCTTCACTCATCCTCCTCATCAGCTCCTTCTCTACCCCTCTTCCTCTACCTCCTCCTGTCTTCTCCACTATCATCTCCCCCCTACTCCTTCTCTCTCCTCCTCCTCTCCTTCTCGTCTCCTATCCACTCCTCCTCCTACCCTCCTTCTCCTCCTCCTCTCACCTCTCCTCTCCTTCATCTCCTCCCTCTTATCAACTCCTCACCCCCTCCTCCTTTCTCTTCACACTCCTCCTCCTTTCTCTTCACCTCATCCTTTCTCCTCATCTCTCCTCCTTCTCCTATCACTCGCAGTTCTGCCAGGTATCCCTCCAGTGGGTCGCAGAGTAAGTAGGATATCTGTATATGTCGGAACACAAGGAGGATCACTCCAACTGGGGTAGGACTGTCTGATGAAGGAGACGCGGCCAAGGGCGGAAGTGGGAGAGAGCTCACAGCCACTCCCCATCGCTCACCCTCCGCAGAAAGAGGAAACACATCACACTGTCACAGCACCTCCCATCTCTCCTCTCTCTCATCTCACTCTTCTCTCCATCATCCTCTCTCTCCTCATTCCTCACTCTGCTGTTCCTTTTCCTCCTCTCTCTTCTCTCTCTCCATGACAATTCGTTCACATTCAGCGTTTTTGCCAAACAAACCTGGCAACGTAAGCCGTGACCGCCATCAAAGGACCGCCAGATCAAGCAATAGAATGGATAATCTGATCCCATCATGCTTTTTATGTTATCGGCAGGAGGGATGCTCAGTGATTTCACACATATATTCTGGCAGCCTTGAAAGAAAAGTTAAAAAACCACTGAGGTAATAGGTTAATATCTGTTTTATTCTAGAGAGCATCTTTAATCCTGAATGTATGAACCAGGTTTGGACCATGTTTAAGCCAGCACAAATGCAGACTGTTAAATGTTCGATAGATCAAAGAAAAAACAAAGGATGTGGCAGTAAGCAGAGCGCATGTCGACACAGCGTCCCAGTTTGAGTAAAAGCAGGACGTGAACTGAACAAACGAGGGTTAATTACATCGGGGAGTCGAGAAGTAGAATATTTCAGTCTCGAGTCTCATGGGAGGCTCATAAAGATGTGTCTAAGGGTGCTTACAGAACATGTACCTTACTTTTCTCTAACAAAAATGCAGTGAAAAGCATGTATACAGGGCTTACAATAGACTATGTAACCTGCTTCTGAACTCTATCTTAAAATCAGCTTAGCATCTCATTATTGAAATGCATTGTGCTTTCAATGCCATCCAATCAGAGGCTGTTGGGAGAAAGGCATGAAGATACATTGAGAAGTGAGATAAACCAGCTTTCTTAACCTCTGCATATTTTTGAATAGCAAAGTGGCTCTTTGGTTGACTTCTAGACTGCATGGATTGGGTTATCTCTGCTAAGTCAGGCTTCTTAATAATCAGCCATATTCAGCAACCTGCATATTGAAATTAAGTCATCTTTATTTATATGGCGCCATACACAGACTCTGACTTTCAATACATAATAATACATTCTGGACAAATAGACTGTTATATCTGTTTGGTATTAAACAATAGGTTGATAATGAAGACTGTCCAAAAATATTACTCCTGCAAATCCCCTAATATTGTTGGCTTTTATTGTTCAGACTCTAGTTGGTCAATATAGGACATCATGTGAATGCAACCTCTTGTTGTATCATTCATTCATTATGTCATATTTATATTATTGTATTGAAGTTTGGAGAAACTGTTTCAAGTCTCACTTACAGCCTTTATTCACTTTGCAAAAGAAGGCTATTAGGATTGTATCAAATGTTCACTATAGACATCATTCACACCCATTATTTTTAGACTTGGGACAACTTAAACTTCAAGACTTGATTCAAATTAAAACTGCTCAAATAATGTTCAGGGCATCGCAAAACTCTCTCCCACCGAGTTTGCAAACACTGTTTCATGATAGAGATGCTCACCACCAGTATCAACTAAGAGGAAACAAACAACTGTACTTACCTAAATTTAGGACTACTTTAAAATCAATGTGTATCTCAGTGTGTGGAGTTACTCTGTGGAACGGTCTAACTGATGAAATTAAAATGTGTTCAAATCTGATTCAATTTAAAAGAGTGTATAAAAAAGAAATAGTGAAGAAGTACAAGGAGGAAAGAGAGTGATGCTCAGCACTGAGCAGTAAGAGGAGAGAGGTGTATGGTCAGGGAGTGTTTGGGCCTGTGTGCGTGTGTGTGTGTGTGTGTGTGTGTGTGTGTGTGTGTGTGTGTGAGAGTCTTGTCTTATACCACTGGTGGTAGTTACTGTATTGTTCTTACTGTATGTACTGTACAGTACACCTTTGTATAAGGTGATTGTGCATCTACCCAGTATGGTATTTTTTCTGTCTTATTGTGTGTCTTGTGTTGTCTGGGTGAGTGGGGTTGGAGTAATATAAGCATTTTGCTTCCTCCAACTCGTGTACGTATTTTTGTTTTCTTGTTTCCTGTAAAATTAAGGTTTTGAAATAAATATTTAATTCATTCATTTTCAGCATCAGAATAAAAAAAAAAAATGGACAACCTATTGTCTGTTATTGCTGAACACTCCCACAAGCTTTCATGGTTAAACCTTTTGGTTGTGGTAATATGACAGCTTACAATGTGTCTTTTGCCAGTAAACAAGATTCAGAGCCGTCTGTATACAACACATCATGAAGAAAAGCTGCATGTTTTGCTTGATTTTTTGCTTTGTGGTAAATTTCTGCGGAATCATTCTTACCAGCTGACAGTCCTCTAGGGAGTTCACCAACTGGGCATTTTGGCATGACAGAATGGACCCAGCCAGGTTTAGCATCACACACACCGCGGACAGCAGCATGAAGAAGGTGATCTGCAACAATCAAAGACAAAATCCATTTAAGTCAAAATGAGACGCAAAGGTTTTATTGGTCAAATGCAGCATATATATATTTTTTCTTTGGAGATGATGATTCGTTCTGACTCTGGGCACCAGCTGGAGGCCAGTCCCTGTGCTCCTCCAAAGGCATGCTGACACAGTTATTAGCACCTGTGCTTCACAGCAAGAGGGTCATGGGTTTCGATTCCACCTCCAGGCCTTTCTGTGTGGAGTTTGCAGGTTCTCCCTGTGTCTGTGTGTCCCTTACCACTACAAAAACACACATACAAGAGGTCCGGCTTGGGCCTCCTGTATGGCAACCTCGCTCCGATCACTGTGTGGAGTGAGAGGAAAAAGGCCCACATCAAATGTAAAGCGCTTTTTGTTGTAAAAGGGGCTATATAAATACACAGAAGTACTTACACATTTATTATTCAATTTTTTTTGTAAAGCGCTAAATCTCAACATCAGTAGTCTAGGACAACTTCACAAAGTTGATCATTCACCAACACAGATCAAATTATAACAAACTCACAGGAGCCATAGGTCCATAGGGGGCTGATGACTAAATGTTAATAAATGCCCATAAATGCTGATACTTAGTAGTATTAGTAGTCGCTACTAAGCTTCAGAGATGATGTCAGGACACACATGACCACATTGAAAAAAAATGTTTCCCCCTAAAGTCTCACCCACCATTAGATTTTGAGAGCAAGACCAGTATTGATCGGCAAACATAGCTGTAATCTTTTACCATTTAAAAGTGACACTGCACACATTAATCACAGTGCATTTCCATTAGACTGTTGGAGGCGTTCATGATGAATTATGGACTGACAATAACTATCAGACAGAGGATATTGTAATGCACCGGCAGCCGCAGTATAAGTCTCCTCCGCAGCACCGTAAGTTGTATTTAATGAAACCTTTTGTGGGTTTGTCTCTGTGCCAGCGGAGCCTCATTGCATCGCTCATATCAGCAAGAAGAAGCAGGCTCGCACTTACACTGTGAAACTTATAGCCCACTGCAAAAGGAACGCCTATATTTCAGAAAGGTGTATAAGAGATTGTACAAACAATTATAAAAACACATCAGGCACAACAGTTT